GCGGCGGCTCGTTCCAAAGGCGCGCCCCGCGGTCCCAGAACACCCGCCACGCGTGCGGTAGCGCGAGTTTCAAGCGCCGCAACAACACGACTCAGCACGACTCGCATGCAATCGGATGGCATGCGGAGCTCAGGCGCGGTGGGGAGTGCAGTGATGGCCCGTGAGCCGCCAGGGCCAGCTTGGCCGCTTCATCCCAGCATGACGTGGCAGCCCGCAGAGGGTCCCCGAAGTTACGTACCGCCGGCGTGTCAGGGCGGGAAGTTTCGACCAGCTGCCGCCAAGGCGGGGCGTCAAAGCCAGCTCGCCGCAGACTCGGCACCGAGCCAAGGGCGGCGGCCACGCAGGGCAGGAGACAGCCTTCTTGCTGTAGGTGGGTGCGAGCTTGCGTCAGCAGCCCCTCAACGATGCCGGGGTGTCGCTCGCGGAGTGTAGGGAGGGTGTCTGCCCAGGAGGCCCAATGTGCCGCCGGGCGCGTTGCTTCCGCGGACCGCAAACCGAGCCCACCAAAGTGCAAAGGCAACTGCGCTCGCGCCACGGCGAGGGCGTCCAACTCCGGCGGTGCATCGTTGGATAACATGCAACGCCCCCAAGCAAGTGAGAACCGCCTCGTCATGACGGCGGGCAAAAGCCGCCGTGGCACAGGGCGGCAAGGCACGGAGCAGGTAGTGGCAACGCGGCGCGGCGCACATGGCATGCAGTAAAGGAACATACAGCCACGAGTTGGTCGGCGATGCAACAACGCCGGTGGGCGGCGGGCAGTCGAGCCAGTCGGCCGCAATAGGGCTGTCAGCACGAGGCGCAGCCTGGCGCCCTGAGCGGGGTGAGACAGGTGGGGTCGGTCCCCCAGCCGGTCCAGGGTGACAAGTGGGGTTGTTAGATTTTAAAGACAAAGCGGCGGGGCACATCATGTGACGCGACGCAGAACTCGTAAATCCCCAAAACCCCGATTGATCACAAAACACCAAAACAAAACCAGGTGTGTGCCGGCGGGCTTCCTCCAAGTTCGTCTCGTTCAACTCCGGTAGAGTGGTCCGAAGAGGCTGCGGCATCGGTTCCTGGCGTGTTGGCTTTTGGCCGACAGAGGACCGGGGCGAGGGTTTGGGTTCCGGTTTTTGTGGCCACAGGATTCCGCGAAGCTCCAAGTCCTGACCCGTACAAGGGGGTGGTTTAGCTGCTGGCCTGTGAAGCTTGCAGCAGGTGGCTGTGTGGAATTGCGGGTTTAGGGCTTGGTGAGCTCTTCACTGCTTCCTGCTGCAGCGGCTGGACGCTGAAACACCCACTGGGTCGGAAACCGCCCTCCGGCGCCATGTTGCAAGGGCGACAGCGCTGGCACGTTTGGGCGAATTGTCGTCCGCCAAACCCCTCACCGCCCCGCCGCGGGACCCTCCGACGCTCCAGGCACTCCAGGTCGCATAGGTAGCCATAGACCCGAGTTTGCAGCAGCCCTGCTCTGCAGCGACCGATTGCTCACCAGCCTCCAACGCGCCAGACGGGGAGCAGCGGGCATCCGGGTTGCACTTTTATGAGCACATCCGCGTCCTGTTCGACGAAGACCTGACCACGCAACTTTTGTCGTGCGCTGCAGGGGGCGGCAACAGTAGCAGACGCCCTGTGTTTGGGTCGTATGATGTCGTATGGTGGCTCTGTCGAAACCGGATAAACCGGGTGGGGGCGTGCGCGCACTTGTCAGGGGGGATGTCTTCCGCAGATTGGTGGCACGGACGCTCGCGCAAGAATTCGGGTGGGCCTTCCGTCATGCGTGTGCGCCTTTCCAGTAGTACGCCCTAAGCGTCGCGACACACCACAGACGGAGAAAAAACATAAATGGCCTCCCAGCGCCAGCGTCGCGCCACCCCGCGAACACGCAAACGGTTGTCGTTCGCGGGCGAAAATGCAAACGTCGCGACACCCCAAGAACACGCGGAGGGTTGTCGTTTGTGGGTGACAATGCGAACGTCTTGCCGAACGTCACAACCGCGAAGGGCTCGCCGGGTTAACGCGACCGAGAAGGAGTAGCGCGAGCGCTTGCCGGCCTCTGCAAGATTCAGTGTGACCGGACATACTTGTGGGTGCGTGGGTGCCGGATGGTGGCCGTTGCGTAGCACTCACGGCCATGCCGGATGGTGGCGGTTGCGTAGCACTCACGGCCAGCCCACGCGAACGTGACGTGTAGACGCGCCTGCGTGCCGTCTGCACGCCGCACCTCAACTTCACGGGCCGGCACGACGGCTCCGGACTCGCGAAGCACACCACGGCAGCTCCTGCTCGTGGTGGGCGGACCGTTTTGAAACCCCTATAGTTGCACACGTTTGCGTGGTGGCCAGTAGGCCACTTCTAATTGACTGGGGCAGCCTGCATCTAGCTATGAAAATCAAATACATCCACGCACGTAAGACGTAAGGGGTGACGAACTGTAGGTAGCGAGGACGTCACTGAAATCGGACGCTGTCCCGTCGACATTGGTAGCACGCAGAAGGTGGCGCGGGAGGAGGCTGGATGCGACGAACGCATCCGGTCTACTAACCTCACGGACTTCGCAGTGTTGAGAAACAGCGAGGTGTGCTGGTAGAGGAGATGTTCGAGCAACCTGGGGGGCAGCAGGTGCGGCGAGGTAAACGTCGTCGAAGAATGCGACTGGAACCAACCGCATTTGAGCGGAGGCTGGGGCGCGTGTCGCCCGCAAAATGCGAATTTGCTTGGGGGGGCCAATGAATTCGCAGGCATTTCGCTTACTGACGCATTGCTCTCGAACAAATCCGTTCGAACGCCTAGGAAGATTAAGATGCATCCTGCTATAGCTTTACAGGCGCTGATGGCATGTCGCAGCCAACGCACCGTTTGGCACAGCGTGAGACTTTTAATGTGAAGAATGTGCGACACGCCTCGGTTTCCACAACGGCATGATGGACAACTCGCAAGTCAACTAACGGAAAAAACCGAAATTTTTTGATTGAGTCAGCTTTCTGACCTGCTTCCGTAAACGCCTTGGAACCGAAGCTCTTGCAGTTGCCGGCTGGGAGTCTGCCCCTCGGCTCGTCCGCCTGTGCGGTAGAGGCAAGCGTAGTGGGCACCACGCTGCATAATCGTGCCGTTGCAAACGCGCGGGAAGCAACGTGCATGGCGCTCAGGCGTCGGCAAAACCATGTTCAACGGCGTCAAGAGGACAGCTCATGCAAAAGGAACACAATGCTCCCACACATTAAACACACGTCATGCCGGCAGAGCGTTGGGCCGGCTGGCGTGAATCGGATGACACACGTGTGACTCAGATCCTTGATCGGGCGGCGCAGTGACAGTAAAGGCTTGGATGTCGTGGTAGAGAATCCGGCACCGACGCTGCACCGTTGGCCCCTGACCGGCACGAATCCTCAGCCCTGCAAGTTTGGGCCCCGACCTCGCACACCACAACCAACTGTGGTCGCGGCACCCCTCCCCCTTCTTGTACATCCACCGTCGCAAACGGGTTTGCTTTGATACCAACCCTTGTCGCGAGAGGGCGCCTGAGCTGTTGCAAGCCCTGCATGTTTGGACCGCACGCATCAGCTTCTTGCAGGTCTGCATTGCACTCGTCATGCCGCAAGCCCGGCCGGGGCGAGTCTCCCCCAAGAGCGGGAAGCGCCACTGACATCGGGCAGCAAACTCAGACTCGCACCTGAACGGAGAAGCAGTGGGCGGTACACTGGACTGGACGTATCTGGACGTGCCGCGGCCGTTCTCAAAACCAAGCTGCCAGCCACATCAGTGCTAGCACACCGCCAGCCACTGCTGCAGCCCGGTCCACACAGCCTCCGCCCAAATTGCCACGTGAAGAGCGGCGACAACCCCAATGAGCCATGGCGCTGCTAGGGCACCAAACAAGAGCACAACGAACCTCCCTACTGAGAGGTGCCAGCGATTGGCGATCGGCCCCGTGACGTGGCTTGTCCGACAATGAGCACGTCCAATTTATAGTGATGAAACCTGTTCGACCGTCGCGGCTCTGGCTTTTTGTCAGTGCAAGCCAGTGCAAGCCCCGGAATTTTGCCGCCGCCACCGCATTCCGCGAGAGTTTTTCGTTGAACATCCCGAAGCTTGCAGATCACTGGAGTGCGCACGCATGAGAACGCCGCCGTCTAGAAGACACATAAGACTGCCGACAGGTGGGCGCAGAAAGCCTCAAAACGTGGAACATCAGCCTATGCAGACCGACCTTGGAAGACTCGACTCCTTAGGCCATGCTTCGGTTGCGCCAACCCAACCATATCACAACACCACCACTGCAACCGCTAGCACTTTCACTGTTCTTTTTGTTCCGACATGCTTTGTGCCGAGCCGGAAGGCACTCAACTCAACCCTGAAGACCTCGTGACTGGGCTTCCAACGCTTCCAAGAATCACATCTACGACAATACAACAAGAAGAGTTGGCACCTCCGGCGTTCGGCAGTCGTTATCGCTCAGATGGCAGCCCGTTGACTGCAGTGACACAATTGCTGTTGCTAGGCGGAAGCCTAGGATCCAGCAAGCTTCACACTAAATCTAGCAGCTCATCCTCGTAGAGCCAAGTCTACTGCCTCGGCCATTGACGTCAGCATGTCATGTCGGTGTGTGTTGCCGATTGCTGAGGTGCAGTCTGTGGAGGAGGATACTTCCTCTCGTCCATTAGGGCCTCCACCTCATGCGGGTCACAAGGCGGCATCCTAGTATCACAGAGGAGAACTGGAGCTTGGCTAGCAATGCTAGCAACGTTTCCTGGGGCACGAGCTGGCCCCGGTAGGTGCTTAGCCTCGGCTGCGAATGTGAATGTGGACTATGCGACTACGTGAACTACCATGAACTACTGTGAACTCTGCGGCGCTTTAACAAGAGCTGCAACCGTTTCACCCTGCCAAGAAGCGAAGAAGGCATTGGACTTCAGTGCCGTCGAGTTGGTACGCTCCATGGGATTCTGACAGCAACTCTCGTAATTGCACCATGCGCCACGAATGATTCAGGAACATGTGCACCCTGAGCCGTGGAATGCTCAGGAACTGCAGCCGATTAGCCATATCATGCACTGGCCTAGTAGTAATATGTAGGAGTATGTAGTGATATGTAGTAATATGTAGTAATCAAGCCTGGGGCCCCAAAAAAGCGCTAAAGAAGCGCTTGCCTCTGAGGTCAGCGTCTTCAGCAGCGGCAACACAGCGGATGCTGGCCTCTCACATCGCGAATTCATGCCAATTGGCATTTCGGATCACTCGGAGCACGCAAGGAGGCACACCTGGCCCACACCACTGCCATGTCCTGGCACACTGCAGATGCTGTTGCGTATGTGAAGAGTTTGAAGATGTTTGAAAGACTGAATCGCGAAGTCCCCAAGTGTTCCCATCCAAAGTCAGCAAGTCAGCACGTCAGCATCCTTCTCCGCATCCCTGAGCTTCTTCTTCCTCGAGCAGGGAAGGAGGCAAAGTAAGCAAAAGTATGCCAAGGGCAGCAAGGGCTGCAAGGACCCGATGCACACTTCATCCAAGGTTCAGCTGCCCATGAGTCTTTGGAGGCAGCCGAGTTTTCTGCCTCAAGCACGCAATATACGCAATATACGCAATCTACTCGGCAGGTTGACCCAGTTATACCCAGTTTAACATACAAAGCATCGCCCTGAGCTCCCGTCATGGGACTGCGCTGCGAAGTCTCACCGCCGCTCACGAGCATGTACAACATCACCCCATAGGAATAGAGATCCACGGCGAATGTGTATCTGGCAGGGCAGACACCGGCTCATAGATGTCAGGCACCTGGCAACATCAGCCTGCCAGTGTTCAGCATGATCTCTGGAGCCGCATATCCATAGGATCCACACCTCGGCAACATCCTACTGTCGCGGCTCCAGCGAAGGTGCATTCGTGTCATGTGACACCAGGTTACCAGGTTGCTCACATCGTGTTTGCATCGCCTGAACGTGCACACAAAGCAAGAGACGCTAAGCGACTTCTCATCGTCGGTGTCCGCCACAACTGAGAGGCCGGCTCCCAGCGTAGAGCTTCTTGGCTAACCCGAAGTCCGTGACCTGAAGGGGACAAATCAGAATACTCACGGGGCTTGGAGAAAAAATCTTCGAAAGGTCGTCTCTGCCGGACCTTGGCTCGGAAGTTGGAGTCGATGACCACCTGGCTAGAAGGCACCGGTGAAATCATGAGAAAGCAGGGAGACCCGAACCGAAGTTTGCATCATGATACGGCACAACTCCAGTCTCTGGTGCTACGGCTCGGGCGTTCTCGAGTTTGAGGTCTCGAAATATCACACGGATACCATGAAGATGCTCCAGCCTTGGATATGGAGAATACTAGAGATGCTCAAGCCTCATGACACGGTGTTAGGAGCTAAATTTGGCGTCTGGTTCCTCATCTCGGATTGTCTCGCGGTCCACATGGTGCGATCGAAGGGACGCCAGCAGCACTTCTCCGGCAAAGCGCGCTGCATCCTCGCGAGGAACTTGCTCGGTACTGTCGGCATGTAGGTTTGCGATGGCTAATTACAAGCTTTAGTTGCTTTAGCTGTTCAATTGTTGGTCTTGAAGAGCTGAAGATCTCTGCTTGGAGTGAACACTGCTCCGCACCACGTGGGAAAACACGAAATCATGCGGGAACCTGCAAGCAGAGCCCAGGCAAGCCGTACTTCCCGAGGCAGCCCTGGAGGTCTCCATTCGGACAGAAGTCCATGACCAGTGCCTCGGGCTCGAATCATTTGCGCTCCGAGGCTCCAAGGAAAAATCTTCGGGAGCTCTGAGGCCGGAGCCCAAAAGTATGAGCACTGGAAAGCGAAGTGCAACTGCACGATGAAAGGGTGCCTATCGCTAGGCTCAGGTAAAAGAGATGAGAATCGACCTTGATATCTCTTGGAAGTCTCCAGACCTCGCCTTGTTGTTCTCCTTGCAGGAGACATCTTCACAGTTCGCATAGGATCGTCTGCAGACGCATGTATTATTGCCCGCGGAAGTGCTACCGAGGCTCAAGATGAACTGCTCGCTCTGAGCTTTGCTTGTGATCTTCTGTGCTTTGAACTTTGCTTTGTCCATGGTCTTCATGGCCTGTGGATGCAAAAATTCACAGTCAGCAGCTGCTCGGCAAAGGTAGCTAATTACACATTTGAAGTTGCCAAGATTCGTGCGCTCGAAGAACCGATTGGCGCACTAGAAAGACGTGGAAAGACCGGATTCGTGCGGCGCTGACAGATTCGCGCACCGCGGATTCACGCACTCCGCCGATCGGATTCACGCGCAGGAAAATCGCGCACTGACGCGGTGGATTCGCGTGGCGACCGATTCGCGCATTAGCGCGTAAGATTCCCACTCTCTCACACACACACACACACCCACACACCAACCAACCAACCACTTAAGCCCGAAATCCAAAGACCTGGCACACCTAAACACTAAAACGCTACCCTGAAAGCCCTAGGCCGAAAAAGCCGAAATGCCGAAAATCCTCAAGGTAGTGGGCCCAGTGCGCATCCACTTCTTGGTCCAGTGCGCAAATTATTGGCCTTCCCGGCATCCATTTTTCAAGGGAAGGGCGCACACTGGACCCACTGCTGGAGGATTTTTTTGGGTTTGGGGTTAAGGGTTGGCGATACAGATTTCGGGTTTAGGGTTTCAGGTTTAGGGTTCAGGGCCTGGGGTTCAGGCGGTTTAGGGTTTGGGGTTCAGGGTTTCGGGTGTAGCGTTGAGGTTTTCAGGTTAGGGCTTCAGGGTTTAGGGTTGCTTTAGGGTTTTTAGGCTATGGGGTTAGAGTGAAGGGTGTAGGGTTTAGGGGTTTCAGGGTTTGGGGCTTTAGGGTTCAGGGTTCGGGTTCAGGGTTTAGGTTTGTTAGGGTTGAAGGCTTAGCGCGTTTTAGTGTTTGGGCTTGAGGGTTTCGTTAAGGATTTAGGGTTTAGGGTTTCGGGTTTGGGGTTGCTTTTAGGCTTCAATGTTCTTAGGGCTGAGGGTTTAGGAGATTTAGAGGGCCTTCAGGGTTTAGAGGTTTTAGGGTTTAGGAATTTAGGGCTTAGGGTTTGCTTGTTGTTGAGGGTTAGGAGATGTAAGGGTTCTTGGCTTTTAGGGTTTTATGCTCAGAGCTTTCAAGGCTTAGAATTTTCAGGGTTTTGGGGCGAGGGAGCAGGGCGTGCGACAGAACAGCCTCAGGCCTGAAGAGCCTAACCCGTACACAAAACCCCTAAGGACTTCCTTACCTATACTCTTTACCTCAAGCCCGAAAAGCCATAATTCCGAAAAGCCCGCAACATTCCCTCAACCCTAAACCCGTATTATATAAGCCAGAAGCCATAAACACCCTGAGCCTGAAAACCATAGCCCAAGTCGAAAATCACCTGGGGGGTTGGGGCGTACAGAATCGCCGGTGCTTGAATCGCCAGCGTTTGAGTTGGGACTTTTGCTCGAATCGCGCATGCCTGAGTTGCCAGTGCTTAAACCGCCGTTGCTGGAATGTGCTGGGAAATAGGATTTGTGCTTGAGTCGCGCGTGGCCAATTTTTGAAGCGCGGCCAGCTTGAAGCGGACGTGTGCGCGGCGGGGACTTGAAGGCAGCAGCCGATGCATTCTGAAGTGCATTGAGCACACACTTGTCTCACAAGACTCACAAGACTCACAAGACTCACAAGACCCACAGGACCGACTGGAGCTCTGAGGCCGGCACATAAAGCTCACCTGTTTCTTTGTGGCGCACCAGTACGACCTTCGCCAGGCAGCTTCCGCAAGACGTCACGGAGAAGGCAGGCACGCATCGAGCAGCCCGTCGCAATCAAGGCTGTTCTGGTTTCATTTTCTCTTTCACGGGAGTGGAACCGCGTTTGCATGTCAAACAAGATGGCAAGTTTGAAATCTCACAGACACTTCATGAACTTCATGGATGCCGACGTTGACATTAGATGTTGTTTCCGAGAAGTTGACCGGCTTTACCTCCATTTGGACTGATGCCCGCTTTCAAGAGCACATCACATCAAGCAAGCCCGAGGCCTTGCCAAAAGCGCCTTCCCCAAGCATCCGCATCTCAGCAAAATCCTAGCAGAAGCGGGAATAAGCGGGAGTCTGCGAGTGACGAGGCAGTTGCACGAGTGAGGCCAGTATAGCCTCCAAGCTGACAGAGGATCCCTCCGAACCGTTGAATCCTGAGCAGCATCTTTCAACGAGGTGATATGAAGCGCACAAAAACCCAGACCTGCGTGAGTCTGAAATATTCAGGGAAGGCACCTCTGTCTGAATCTTCTGCGATGGACCCGAGAAAGAATCTGCTGACAGCGCCCAGACCTGGCACACCAAGCAAGGGTGCCTGGAAAAACGCACGCAGTGACAACAGCCCCTTCTGCACATCATTGTTCATTGAGGTTTGTGCCGGCACTCAGCATGAACGAGGAAAGGCCTGGCATCGCATCAAAAAGCAGGATTGATGCCAGAACTCGTCCAGGCTATGGCTCGTCTTGAAGCAAAGATGTAACGGGCCAGGGCATCCGCAGTTCGTAACTGCCATAGGCGCATCAACAGACCTCAGGTTCAAATGGGCGACCGTCGGAACTCTATATGTCGGGCCTAAGTCGCACAACGGACTTGTCCGTCGTTTTACAGGGTTTTGGTTACGGGAGGGTCCCGGGAGGGTTCGGTGCTACCCGTCGCGTTGGGTTTCGAACCTTCAGCTGCAAATGTGGTCCCGCGCCTAAGACGCCTTTACCAGAGTTTTGACCCTTGCTCAAATGTACCCGGTGCTGCCCAAGAATTGTTTTAGTTTAGCTCTGTTGTCTTTCGGCTATCTGACGACATTCTCTTGCTGATGCATCCGCGCCGGCAGCTAGACGCCAAGAACGGAGAGTGAAAACAGGCAGCGGGGTCTTGCCCGGATAAAAACAGCAGAGGGGCTGCGGGGGGCGCAGCCCCCCCCCCCCTCCCTCGCTTTGCAAGCACAATGCTCGCATCATGGGTTTCAAATATTCGCATGCTTTGAAGCAAGCTTGCCCGGTAAAAAATGAAAGCATCTGCAAACACAATGCTCGCATCATGGTTTAGGGTTTCGGGTTCAGGGTTCACGGTTTAAGGTTTAGGGCGTCTCGCCGCGCAGCGGCAGTAAGTACCATGCGGAAATGGCGCCCCCCTACACACCTAGGGGTGTGGGGGGGCGGCATGTCACGCGCAGGCATATGTTTTCACTGTGTCCAACAATTTCATTGGTGCTAGGTTTCTTTCTTCCCACCCGCTGTGAGCTTTCACAGGCCACCAGTCGCCCTCAATTCGCACCATCGAGAACGCGTCGGCTCTCTGTCTTTGTTGAAGTTTTGCGGCTTTAGGCAGCTTGAGGGGTTTGAGGCTCAGGCACAGCCCAGCCCTAGCTCTCCAATGGCACCACCCATTGTCCATCCAGTAAAGGTGTGTCTGGCTGCCGGTATAGTTCTGGGTCCAGGCACCCTATAAACCCTAAACCGGGCATCCTGGGAAGCACGCTTGCACGAGGCAACCCCCCCCCCCAGACCCCCCCCATCCCCCCCCCACCCTCATTTGCAAACGACCTGCTTGTATCATGGGTTTCGAAAACGACTCGTATGCTTTGAAGCAAGCTTGCACAGCTAAAAACAGCCGGGAGCTGGCGGGGCGCACCGCCCCCCCGCGCATGCCAAACCCGCTTCCTTTTTGCCTTCCTTCCTTCCTGCCTGGCGTCCTTTCTTCCGTTCTTCCTGTCCAGCCCCGTTGCGTGTTTCCTTCCTCCCTCCCTCCCTTCCTCCCTTCCTTCCTTCCTTCCTTGCTTCCTTTTCTCCTTCCTTCCTTCCTTCCTTCCCTCCTTCCTTCCTTTCTTCCTTCCTGCCTTCCTTCCTGCCTTCCTGCTGAAAGATAATCCTATTTTAATATTCTTGATCCTCATTTGAATATGCTTGATCCATATTCGATGTTTTTTTATGCCTATCCCCTGCTCCTGCTGCTGCTCCTCCTCCTCCTCCTCCTCCTCCTCCTCCTCATCCTCCTCCTTCTCCTCCTGCCGCCGCCGCCGCTGCCAACTGGACAAGCATCACCTCCTTCTGCCTCCATCATGCTAGGATTTGGGGCCGATCGAGAACCCAAGCTGAGCCTCGAACCTTAGAACCTATGTGTTTTTATGTGCTTTGGTCGTTCTGGTCCCTTAGAGTGACGGAGTTCTAAAGAGTCTCTCGATGTCTCTCGAGGTAAGTTCACCACAGCTGCTGCATGCCGGCGCCTTGGTTCGCCCTGCCAAGACGTAGAACGAGTCTTAACATACCTGAAGGGACTGTCCATAATACTTGGCTGAAACCCATGTGCTGCCGTCCTCAGGAAATTCTCCTCGGCTTCGCGTCCGACAGACCTCAGAGCTGCACTGTGCTGCCATCCGGCCCATTCTCCCCTACAGGTCCTACCAGCACAGCCAAACTCCAGACTCCGGGCTTTGGGAACCACATGAACTATGGAGCCGAGCCTACGGAGCCAACAAGAGCCTAACCCCCTTGCTGACTGTATTGAAGATGCAGCGCCGCAAGACACCAAAAGGCTGATCCCAGTAAGGATCTGACACCAAGGGTACGTTCTGTGAATTCGGCAACCTGCTCTCAAGCGCACCACATCAGCTACATATGCTTTGGCTTGCATGAACACTCACTCTGTGTAACCGTCCTGCCTTGATTCCTCGTCCACCGGAACAACCTGGCAAAAGGCAAAACTTCTGCTTTGCTCGGTTTTGTGCACTCTTGGTCGGAGGCAGGAGGAGGGAAAGGGGGGGGAAGTTGCAGGCTTCGAGGCACAAGTTGAGCGAGAATCAGTACAGACCCTTTGACGCTTGATGATGCTTGATGATGCTTTATGATGCTTTATATCCAGTAGCTCTGCTGCTCTGCTGGTTTTTGCAGAAGAAGCCAGACCACCTGCTCCGCAGCGGGCACCTCGCTGCTGGATGACCTGGCACTCGTCTTCAAGCTGTGGCTTCTACAGAAGTTGCTCACGCACAGGTGCAACTATTCAATCTTGTTACATGCATGCTCATATATGCTCAATGCATTTTCACATTCAGAAGACCAGGTCTATATCGGCCATGCCAAACATTGCAGCGGCGCCGCTGGTTGCCCGAAGTCATTTTGGAGAGCTCCAGGACTTCCTCCTTCAAGGTGACAGCAACCACGCTCACTCTATCATGCTTCATCTGTCTCGGAAAGTAGGGAAAAAATATGGGAATCTCTCCTGGGCGGAGTGCCTCGCTGCCTCCGACCTCAGGATGTCTGCGCATCCTAACGACAGACTGGACAAAGTTACGGCAAGGAAGGTCCGAGCGTGGCTTCGCTGGCTCGTGGAGCTTGTCTGCTTCTGGCCTGCATCAAGCGAATCCAAGAGAATGTAAGGTAACCAGCGTGTGGAGCAGGACCGACGAAAAGTGCAATAGTCTTACAGTCGTGCCTCTGCAGCTCGTAGCATGTCGGCTATGGCACACTCCGCGCTGTCACGGTCGAAGCTGAACTTGTCAGATGGCGCGCCTCAGCAGAAGTTCCTGTGAGACCCTGTCAGGGTCTGAGGCCGGTTCCGAACCCCCAACTGGGCCCAGGGTGCCGGCACTCGGCTGCTGCCAACCCTTGCTTGTTCAAGGTCCTCTTGCGAACTGATGCAACAGAACTGTGAGCTCCGTTTTTGAAGGTGCCGCAGCTGCTCCTGACGTCTACTGCAGGATGCCGCAGCAGCTCCCGAAGAACTTCTACCTCAGGATGCAAGGTATGCTCCCACAAGTGGCATGCCTCGCGCTTCTCGGATCTTTTACACAGAATGCACAGAGATTTGCTGCAAGAACTTCATCAGTTTCGGCGACTCACACCTTGACCAGCCTGGCAGCCTGTCAAAGTGCCTGCAGAATGCTGTCTTATCAGCGCCTCACGTTGTGGAACCTGGCCGCTACATGAAGTGGGGTGTCTCCATCAGCATTTCCAGCCTCGGATGCTGCAGAACAGAGCTGGCGTTTTTGACAAGGTAGAAACTCATGGCAGTGACCCGAGGCATTGTCCTGCCACTAAACAAGTCTTAGCCAGGGCACATTTAGCACACGCGCATCACCTCTGCAAACTTGACAAAGGAAGCGTGCGGAATCTGGAGCCTGTCGCTGCAACATGGAGGTTGCTTGAATTGTGACGACACAGAGCTGCGCTAGCTTCTCTGATACAGCCAGTCTCGCGGGTCAAGTTCCTACTGCTAAAACGACACATGGACTGTCGCTCCGACTAGCGGAAGCCGCGCCAGCCAAAGCACTTTCTGGCAACATGAACTGGACCATAATGGATCAAACGCAGCATCAGCCAGGCCTTGTTCATTGCTGCCAGATGCAGAGCTGTGTACTGCTGCTTATTGCCCGTCCGAGCCTACGGTTTCGCGGCAGTGCGAGAAGCTCCAACACAGCACAGATCATGGTGAGAATGACTAAAGTGTTGCTCTGTGACTGCCCTGCCTGCAGATCTGCCTTCTCCTCCACGAGCAGCTTCATGCACTCCACCTTCAACAGGAGGCACTCCACCAAACAAGGGCTTCTTTTGGGCTTCTTTGGGCTTCTTTGAGGCCGCGCACCTGACCCCTCCTCGCTGCCAAGTGCAAAGGATTGCGTCCATCGGGGCCAAAGCCTGCAGCACACCAGAACCCGGCTGTGCTTTGAAGGGCATGCGGATGCGGCCTTTAAACTGGAATCCTCCAAAGGGCCCTGAATCCCCAGACTGGTGTACTCTGAGAGTCGCACGAGAGATGTCCAGGACTAGCTCTGAGCTTCCTGGCAGAGCAGACAGCTTGAAGTTGAAAGCCCTTCGTTCCAAAGGCTGAGAAGAGGACCTTCGCCAGGGTTGAAGATTGAAGCAAGCCAGGATGTGTAGCAAGCAGCACTCGTGACAACAGTGGCCATACTGCTCAGGCCAGCAGATTTAGCTTCTGACAAAAGCCGCGAACTGTCCCTCGAAGCATCAGCATGTTTTGAAAACCCAAGAGAAACGAAAAACACGTGATCTCTCACTGGCACAAGGCAGGCCAGCAGCACGCAGCAACTTGCGAAGGACTTCCACTTCACCATATGCAACCTGAGGTCATGATGAGCTGTTTCGGGAAGGTACATTGGTTGAATCGGTGTTTCTCTTTCCTTCTTGTTTCTTTCTATACCCTTTGGTTGTGAAGGGTTCATTGGAGGCGCCCACTAAATTGTCGCCGTCAGGTACCCTACACCAGCGGTTTGAGGGACTCACCCCCCTACCCCCCACACGCCCTCGACCACCGCCGTTCCCCCATCCCAAGATGGACGCTTAGAGGCTATGATGCACGTCCATGTGTTTCTAAACCACTTCAGGCTTCAAGGAAACACCTACAGAATAGACGCAACACGCCCGCATGCGCCCGCGAGACTGAAGGCATGGGCGGAGGGCGCGGGCCCGGCGATGGTCACGATGTGCTGTTCTGTGTCGAGGAGCGCATTGAATCTGTGGGCGTGTCCTCTAGGAAGGCGGTGCTTGTGTGCGAGAGCTGGACAGAGTTTGCTTGCTTGAGGAGAGCCAGCTGCTCTCCTGATGTATGTGAGGTGTAGAAGGAGTCTGGGCCCGATGGTACAGAGAGTTGCCCTTCGCATGCATGCTCTCAAGTGCTGCTATGGCCCGTATGTTGTGTTCAGATGTGATGGATGACCAAGGGGTGGTGATGATGGTGTTCGGGGTCGCTGCCTTAACTGTTTGCCCGTTGACTCTGAACGGTGTGCATGCCTGTCCCTGCCGCATGGCTGGCCATGGCTGTCGTCCCCGCGGCCTCAGGGCGTTTTCCAGGGTAAGGAGCTTTTGTATGCGGGCTCTCCCGGGCTCCATACTTGTCTTCCATGAAGGCACTCCCGAGATGGGACATGGAAGGAAAGGGGTTGCCCCTGTGGTCCCTAAACCCGCTCTCTCTTTCTCCACATGCTTCCTTCCTTCCTTCCGTCCGCACATTGCCTACCGAGGGAGGCCGCCCGAGGCGTGCTCCAAGCGTCTTAGTCGGGTGAGACTGCCACCCACACGATGTGCTCGGCTCGTTCGATTTGCTAGCCGGGAGCCCACCACACTACAAAGCAGGTCTCCCTCTCTCTCTGTATCTTCTTCTTCTGCTTCTTCTTCTTTTTCTTCTTCTTCTTATCATTATTCTTCTTTTTCTTCTTCTTCGGGGCAAGAGGGGGGCGGACCCCCTCCCCCACCCCACACCAGGCGCTCTTTCTCTCTCTTCTTCTTCTTCTCAGCACTTGGGAGTCCCCCCCGGAGGAGGAACCCGGCCGCGACGGCCAAGTGGGTCTGTGTCCAGCTGGTCCAGCTGGCTTTGGGACCCCATTGGTTTCAACAGAGCCCCTCACAGAAAACATCGGTACCCCTGTCTTAGCGGCACCTCGTAGAGTGGTCGATCTCACCACTTTGCTCACTATCTGTTGTTAGGCCTTCGGCTTCACTCTCGTCGTCTTCAAGGTAGTAGTCCGTCACCCCTGTCTCAACGGTCCCTTCAAAAAGCTCGTGCCCCTCTTCGTAGTCGTCGATCTGGGTGGTCTCCACTTGTTGGCTAGGTCCTCCTCGCCCTCCGAAAAGCTCATGCCCATTTTCGTAGTCGTCAATCTGGGTGGTCTCCACTTGTTGGCTCGGTCCTCCTCGCCTTCCGTCTGTTGTCGTCCCATGTGCTTCCGGTGCTGAATCGCGTTCAGGTGCCTGAGGAGGATGTAGGCCATGTCCCCGACGTGCTTCAGGTGCAGGAGGACGCTGTAGGGTGGGCCCCCAAAGCGACCACGTGTGCTGCGGAGGGTCCCCCGTTGGGGAAGCCTCCCATCGATCGCTTGGGCTCCGGACCGGGCTGCTGCAGCCGCTGCTGCTGCTGGCTTCTTGGCGTGGCCGCGTTGTCCCGGTTGTTTGTCGCTCATCCTCATCTTCCTCCATCTCTGCTTGGTACCCCCAATGGCATTCGCGTGAGCTGCTCGCGGATGCCGACCTTCTCTTGCTTCTTTTTTTTTGAAAGAAAACACAGCGAAGCTGTACTGCATAGGGGGTTAGGATTTACGACACACCCTAGCCAAGCGTTGCCAGGAGCTCTCACCTCCATGCGGCCGAATGACCAGCCTGCAATGCCTACACTGCCAACCTTTCGCCTGACCCCGAAAATCCAACTCATGCGAGGGATGAACGCCTAAGCCTACCCAATCCATGGTGGTGCGACAGCATGGGAGCAATGCGAGCCCCCGGCCCCGCCGACTCCCGTGGACTTTCAGCCCACATAAGGTGCATCGCGAGAAGACAGCACCAGGAAAGTGTTGCCAGCTATGCTGGGGATGGAGCTGCGAAAGATGAGCTAAAAACTCAGCGCCCGTGGCGACCCGAGGGCCAAAGGTTTTGGGGCGTCGTGGTGCTTGGAGAAGCAGCTTGGCTCTAGTGGTGAGAAAGCGAAGCACTTTCCAACAACGGTCATCACTAGTACGAAAAATGTCACCCCAAGTTCGAAGGTTATGCCTAGCATCTAACCACTTACTTACCTTGCCAGCCGTCCTATCGGCGTGCTCATTGGCGGTGTACGCCCACCGCAGGTCAGAGCCGAACTCTAACTCAAACTCCGGCTGGGAGCGATGGGAGCGAACCCACGAGCCCCGCAACCAACGATCAGACAGGCCTTCTTGAACATGGAGCCACAGATCTGCGTTGGACCAGCTACTCTTAACCCTACGTTCTTCTCTTGCTTCTTTGCGGGTAGGTCAGCGTGTTCCGGAAGATGGGCCCCCACTTCTGTGCTTGGTCATAGGCCCGCATGACCACTTGTATCGTCTCGATCTTGTCTCTGGTAATTGGTGTCACTGTTCTGCTGCGATGCTGCGGTGGAGGATGCGGCCAATCAGGACCAAGAGCTCCTCGTCCCCTTGACTCGTCTCCACTTCGCCGGGTCCCGCGTTGCTGAGGATCAGGTTGACGAGCTCGATGAGGTTCTCTGTCTCCAGGAGTATCACGTCCTTCCCTTCACACAACTGGGTCCATCTGTTGAGGAACTGGTGGATGGTCAAGCGGAGGTCACCTCTACGTTGAACTTCCTGCGTTCCTTGATGTTCCAGGTTGATCACGTCCGAGGGATGGTACGTTTGCGTTGGCTGCATCTGACGGGCCTCCCGTCTGTTGGGTCGCTCCCTCCAAACGTGGGTCCCCCAAAGTGCCTGTGCAGCGGGGTTCCTCCGTGACGGAAGTGCGGCGCTCGCCGAAGTGGATCTCGAGGTCGTCGTTGAACTCGGCGGCCAGAGGTTCGTGGTCTCCGCTTGTTTGGTCGTTCTGCTCCTGCTCGTAGAAGTCGTTGATGAGGTGCTGGAGGTAGAGCTCCTGGGCGTCCAGGTCCTCCTGTCGATCCTGCTGGAGTGCCTCCTCCTCGGCTGCTTCTTGGCGGAGTTGGCGTTCATCTTCTGCGAGCTGTAGGCAACGGCCTTCCTCTTGTGCTTGTTGTTCCTTCGCTTCTGCATCCTTGGCCATGTCGATCGCCTCGTCCTCCTCCTCCTTTGTCCACGGTGTAGGACCAGGCTGTTGCATGAGGTCCAAGTGGTCCCCTTCTAGGTGGTCCCTGTTGCGCAGAGCGTTCAGGAAGTCCTCGATGACATCGGCAGGGTCCTCATCTGGTGGTGGGTGGTGGTCCGAGGCGGCTTGCGCTTCCCCTTCTGCTCCTTCTTCGGCGGCATGGACCATGTGGGGAGAGGGAAGCTGCGCTGTGTGCGCGGGCCCCCCTGCATGTGGCGTCTGCTCGTGGCTGTGCTCCTCGTTGTCCACGCTGCTCTCGCTGCTGCTCCAGTGGGTCTCCTCATCGCTGCTTGGGAGTGTTGGCGGAGTCGGCATGGTGCGCGTCGGCGGTGTTGGCTCCAGGGGGCTCAGGGTTTGCGGGGGTCGCTGCGGAGGCTGCTTGGAGGGCGGTTGTGGGGCGGCTGGACCCTCCGCGTTTGCTTGCGGCGGTCGCTGTGGAGGCTGCTTGGGGGGCGGCTGTGGGGCGGCTGGACCTCCCGCAGGGTGCAGGCGGCTGCTTGGGCGTGGCTCCCGTCTGGCTGATGAGGTGCTCAGGAGGGTCATTGCTGGCCCTGCCCCTGTCCTGGTTTGTTTGCTGTTGCTGCTGGTTCTCACGCGGCCGCTTGTGTAGGTTGAGGAGCTCTGCCCACTTTGCTCTTTCTTCCTCTTTGCCGGGGCCGTCAAAAGGCCTGACCCTGCGTTCTTGTTCCTCGAAGTCCTGCTGTTGCTGTGCGTTCCAGTCGGCCCAGTCTTGGTTCTCCTTCTGCTTTCTCGCCATCCTTTTTGGGCCCCTTCCTTCGTGGCGCTGTGCTTTGGGGTTTGTCGGTGTTTGTGTGTAGGTGTGGTCCCAGGCGGGGTTGTTGGGGGCGGCAGGTTGGGCAGCTTGGTGAGTCTGCCGTTCAGCTGCTGTACTGTTGGGCGTATCAGGTTGTGTGTCCTGATGTGCTTGTGCGGAGGGGTGCCCGAGACGGGTCCCCCTATTCCATCTGTTGGGTCGGTCGGTCCCCAAAGTCGGTGCTCCTCGTGGTGGGTTGCTGGGTCTGTGTGTCGGGGGCTTGTTGCCCTCCCTTCGGCGTTGGTTCTGAGACTTGTCGAAGTATGGGCGACTGCCTATCCGCTGTGTTTCCTCCCAGGAGAGGTAACGGATATGCCGGCAACCCTCCGGCGGCGGGTAGTCGTCACATTGATGCGTCCCATTCACGGCAACCTCTCTCTCTCTCTCTCTCTCCTTCTTTTTCTCTCTCTACTCTCTACTCTCTCTACAAGGGGCTAGGTTAATGTTCTCGACAGACATACAAAATACACACTTGTCACCGCGCGCATGGAAGGGGAGCACATTTTTGTCAGCGTGAATGAGATTTCTGCTTGGGGCTGCAAGTGGGTTTTGACCACGTTTGGAATTCGCGAAGCCCCAGTGTGCACGCGCACAAGATACGACTTTACACAAGAAGATACGCTTAACCTACCCTCTTGTACTCTCTCTCTCTCTCTCTCTATACTCTCTCTACTCTCTCCCTCTCTTTCTTTCTTTCATGGGGCTCGCCCCGCACGCACTCTCTCTCGCTCTGTTTGTCTTTCTTTGTCCCAGCAGCAGCGCTATGAAGATCTGCTCCCGGCTTGGTCCTGGGACTGATTCTTGTGAGTCTGCAAGCTCATGTATGGACGTAGGATTTTAAGGGGTAGACGAGTCAGCGTGTCCAAGGTGCACACGGCATTTTGCGAGTCCAAGGCGCACACAGGGTCCCGTTTAGTACGCACGGACCAACATTTTCGAGGGGGAGGCCTGCTCCTTTTCCCACGCGCGCGCGCGCACCCTAGGGTTTAGGGCTTCAAGCTGCTTATGGTTTAGGGTGTTTAGGATGTTTTAGGTCCTTTAGGGTGCTGAAGGTTTTAAGGGTGTTCAGGGTGTTTAGGGTTTTGGGTGTGCTTAGGGCCTTTTGGGGTGTTCAGAGTTTACAGGGAATATAAGGGTCTTTCAAGGGTTTAGGGTTTTTGGGTTTAAGGTTTCAAGGGTTTTGGGTTTTCAGGGAAGACCTCCCAGTGTAGACCGGAGACCCTTGGAAGCCTGCAGGGGCTCTTGGACGCGCTGTCCCCGCGTGCACCGCGTGCACCGCGTGCACCTTGGACCTGGCGCCCTTCTCAACAACATTCCGCTAACATCACACAGGGGTTGTGTGAATCCATGTGACTCCCTCGTCCTTGCAGCATACGTTGCAAAGAGCAGGTAGTAGATGACCACGCTTGCAGCCCAGCAGATGGCCTGAAACATGCCGGTTGTCACTCTGGTTACCCTGGTTTCAGTAGTGCTGGTTGGACAAGGCAGGGGCCCAGGATGGATGCAAGTTCAACACGAAGGAGAGCATGCTCAGCCGCTCCTGTATAGTACTGTCGTGAAGTTTGCAGCTTGACGTGACAGAAAGGATGCAGTGCCGGGACAGGCTGAGAAGAATGCAGGTGTTGGGTGTTAAGCGTCCTCGCGGTATCCAACCACCTCGCAACTCGCAGCAGGATTGGAAACATGCACGGGCATCTTGAACACGCAGACAGGTCCGAGCATCAGAGGCTATCACAACTCAAGGCACATCACCAAGTACAGGATTTTTTCGAGATGCTCTCGCAGTCCCAGGCTGACATCGCGCAGGAAAGACAAGACCTGCCTTGATCTCCGCCGGGCACAACACGCAGAATACCAACACCTTGGCTGTGAGAGGCAAGCAGCCGTGCTGCACTTCAAGTCACCAACTCCGCTGAAACTGTCAAGCCAAATAGCTGGATCTTACCGAAGCTTTCTGACGGCCAAGCTGCCCCAAGAAGCTCAGCAGTTCTGAGAGGAAACATTATCTCCGAGATCTGGCGGGCCTGAAGGACAATGCTTATCACTTGCCGGAGCAAGGCTCGGCACATCAAAACAGCCATGCCTGAAGACTCATTCCGGGTGCATCCACGAACCTCAACAGGCTGCAGCTCGAGAAAGGCAGGGTTGGTGAACATGTCAACTTCACCGCTTCGGCTTCAGTGCTGCTCAGCTGCTGCATGATGTTCACCATGAAGAGCGGCACACCCAGTACCACGGAGGCCTCTCCAATTGGAAGGGCTTTGATATACAGGCAAAGTAGGTGGCTGATTGACATTCGAATCTGAAATTGAGGCCTCATGTGAAGATTTTCAGTTCCCTTCGGTTTATGAATGCACAGATGGCACCTCACGCACTGGGTCGCGACCGCCCAGAACGACCAGAAGAGCTACCTATAAGTCACCGACGCCAAGATGATCGAGACGGAAACATGATCTTTTCAACTGAGAGAACCACGCCAAACAAGTAGTCCGCCGCAACCAACACCTGTGCACTCTCGTCTCTCCGATTCGCTTTGGCAAGCACATAGACGTGGGAAAATCTGCACAAGATCGCGGCATACGCGATCCACCAATATCGCAATGGACGCATAAAAGTGCAGAAGGCCTCAGAGACCAGCGCATGCAGGCCGAATGTTTGTTCTAGTATCGACCACTGCTCCTGAATGATTAGGAAGTTGCGGCAAGAGTGGCTGCAAGATGGGGGTATGGTACTGCAAAAGAAATGTCGCTTTTGTGTGGTGACATGTCCGAGAAGCATGCACGAGGCTCATCACTCTTCTACTCTCAGCATCCCATACACACCGTGATATGCCGTGCCTGAGGAGAGGCACGCAAAATGTTCGTGCCAAAATCACGAGAACCCCCGAGATGCCCACTAAATTGGGCAAGGGTCTTGGACTCTCCCTTTACTAGTCAGCTGACCCATTCTCCCAGCCTGTTCATTCTCTCATATGCTCCCCACGATTGCCATCACTCATCAAGACAGCATGTTGCACGTGAAGAATCGATCTTCTCTTTAGTCAGGCCTGAAAAGTTTTGAAAATCTCGACACAAGCAATAAACTCGGCGACCAAAATCGCTTGAACAAATTGTTGGCCATCCGAGTGTGCTGTGCTGTGGCGTGCAAAGACCCTTTCTGTAACCCAAGCCGCGGACCAGCATCGTCAACAATCGCATCGAAAACTCTGCGGCCCGAAACCTGCGGTGACAACACGGCAAGAAATCGTCAAGAATGCTCCAACAGTGCCTGCAAGCAGCCCTGAGCGCCCCACGCCAGATGTCTAGATGACGCAAGTGCAGACTCGTCGAGCACGTTCTGAACCTTGCATGCCGTTTGTGAGAGAACCTTGCCAGAAGTAAAAGGCCGACAGAACCCCACTAGCACTAGCAGCCCCAGCAATTCTCATGTCCGAGCACCTAAACATGTTTAAAGAAGGCAAAGGATGCCCTCAGCCAATGTGCTCACAGGCATCACGAAGTTTTAGTATCTTAAGCTGAGCAGGTATCTCAACAAGGTCGTGCCTTCATTGGCTAGCAAATCTTGAAGACCTTCTAATAAAGGAACTCTTGCTGACCATATATGAAACATGCCAGGTCAATTGATTGGCACATGCTTTGATCAAATCCAACATTTGAAGAATATGATTAAGCCGAATAGCCCATCAGGTTCTTCTACGCACGACCTAGTCTTTAATGGGCATTTTCCGGTGTAGGTCGGTGACTATTCGGGTAGCGGTGAAGAGAACTACTGGGGTGAATGCGGGGGAGCGGATCAGGGGGCCGCACGGTCTTTTTTCCATTGTTTACTATATGCCTACCCTTGAGACGCCCACAGCAAGTCCCGGCTCTACCCTCATTCTCTTTCTTGAGGGCTCAGCACAGGCCGATGTTCGATGGTCAATCTGAACGAGCACTCAAGTACACGCAGCCGTTTCAACTGACGAAGCCCGCCGAAGGCCTCGACCAAGGCAAGACCCACGTTGATGATGCTACAGAAGGCACCTTCATGGGCTGCTATTGTATGTTGCAACACCACCCGCGGAAGCAGCAGAAAGCAGCGAAATGATTGAGTCGGATTCCCTTGCCTATGTACAGGCACGGCGTGTACCAGGCCTGTGTAGCGTTTCTGCTGTTGTTCCGAGGCTTTTCGAACAAAATTTGAAAGCCCTATGAAACGCTTCTCACTGGTTTCCCTCACAAGTTCGAGCAGATCCTCCGTTTGCAGCTGCACAGGATTGAACTGCGGCCTTGGGCGGCTCTTGAGTCAAGGAGGGCAGCTATATGGCTTATGAAGAGGCGATCTCACAGCTATACCCAAGATGCCAAGTGTCCCACTCCGCCCAGCGGTCTTTGATCAGTGCATACATAGAGACGTATGCAAACACCGAACCTTCCAACAAGCCGTCCATGGCCTGGCCGAGAGGTGCAAGGCAAAGTGCTTCAAAACAGGCCTGAGCCCTGGACCCTGAATACCCTGAACCCAGAAGTTCGCAGCCTTGCTGTGAAATCTAGCTGGCATCATTGCGGGCACCTGGGTATAAGACGGCAACCGGTTAAGGGAGCCAACTTCCTCTCAACAGCGCTGTGGGCCCGGCTCGCAATTCTGATAGGTTTGACTCGACGTCTAGAGATCGAGCTCTTCGTCTCCGTTTCATGTAATCCTCCATGGGGGAGGGCTGAAGGACGTCACAGCAAGTTAGCGTTTGACTGTCCAGCTGCTGCTACTCCAGTAGTACTTGTCACATCTCTTCCCCGGCAGCGGCCAAAGTATCCAATGATTTTCGCTGGAGCCGGGGACCCTACAAAGGCTCGGAACATGCATAGACACTTTGGAGGTCTTGGCGCAATTTTTAATTTTGACATTCCAGCACAAACGATCGGGATAAGAAGGACTACTTGGACGGCGTGCCGATCAACTCTCGCAGAAGGGACGGCCGCCCCAGGTCTGCAAAGGGCTCCCAAGATTCGAGCCGAACCCGGGGACTGGTGGACATGCCAGAACCCCGTCGCGGGTGGCAGGTTTTGGCAGAGCCGATCACCGAAGTGGCCAGGATTGCCACGGCCCCGAAGAGCTCTCACAGCAAGTGAAGGGTTTACTGACAATAGAAAGGAGCGGGAGTGCAGTGGAGTTGAGTGAAGTGTGGAGTGGGATGGAGATGCTTTGAGATGCTTCTTGGCCACACAATTGCCTTTCCGGCGGGCCTGTGTGCCTCATGAACTTACGTGTTTGGATGCCAGAACGTGCGTGGTTCAGCTTGGGTGCCAACTGTGTGCCCTACGCGGTATGCCACCCGGGAAATCAAGATGGATCTGTGAGCATAGACGGGCAAGGCAGGCAACTCTTCCGGAGGAATCTAGCAGGTGCGCAATGGGCTTAGATCTTGGCAGATGGCTTAAGGCACAACGGACAATATCAGCCTCATGAGCCATGCAGAGCTGCACGCCCTGCATGAGCCCCATACAAATGACCTGAGCTTGCTTCAACGACGCAAAAAGATCCAGCGAGCCCAGCAAGCACACTTGCTTCGAGTAAGATTGTGGCCATGATGAAGAAATTGATGAAAGGCACACAGCACCATCTCTTCCAGTCCTGCATCAACCATGGCTTTGCAGCGCTGCTACGTCTACGTGTACTAGCGGTCTCTGGATGGCGAACACTTCCGTCCGAACACCCAGTTACAAAGGCGGCGCTCCAGACGAGTCGATGCAGTGTAAGTGCAGAAGCATCCAATGATCAGATGCCTTGTCGGAAGGAGTTAAATACCACTGGACTCCACAAGAGTTTTCAATGACCCAGAGCAGACGGTTCTACGATACTCTGCTCGCAGCACTCCGTTGGTCAGCCCCCCCCCCCCATGAATAGTGGCATCTGAGTTTGGTCTGCATCTGACCCACAAAGTCCACAACTCGACCTAATTACAAGTGCTTCCCAAACCTATCCGTAGCTTGGCCCGGACTGGCCGCCGTCCCAGACTTAAGACTTACGGTGGCTCCTACAGTCCTTCCTACGTACAGGGGCACCGCTCATGTCTGCTCTAGCAGTATAATCAAATCGGCCCGCGCCAGATCACCGGGTCACCCTGAGGATGCAGCGACAGCAGAAGCACGTAAAAGTAACGCGGATGGTCCACAAGACACACCTGGGCCCAACGCCAAGCTCGTGCGCAGTTGACAAAAAGTGTTGTCGGCGCATGCTGCGGCCCTGAGCGCAGAACAATCACCATGGTCAGGATGTTTGTGATGTAGTCCGTTATGTGAAGCCTGAGTTTTTTCGGCACGGGCTCTTTTGCAGCTACAAGTACGGCCTTGGCCTCGTGACTCGTGCTGCTGCCACACGTTCTCTGAGGATGTGGCATCACGAAAGACAAATGGCGGAGTAGTTCTGCTTTCAAAGTTGACATTCGAGTACAGAACAACCTTGCACGTCTGATGATAGACACAGCCATTTTTTTGACGGTCGGTTTCATCAGCACCGTCGAAACCGATGTAAGGCAGCCGCAGCATTCCCAAGATGCAGAGGGTGCCAAAGAAAATCCTTGGATAGGCGGCGCTATGTCATGCCCAAAGCCCATTTTTGCTGCGAAGACCTATTTCTCGAAATGGGCTGCATTGGGATTAGATTTGGGGGTCCCAATGAGGGAACGGACATCGGGAACCGCCTAGCCCCACGCCATGCTTGACGTGTGAGGATATTCTTGGAGGCGGGGTATGTTGGGGTCGCGGTTAGAGGCCCCACCCTAGCCTGGCTCTGGTACCTTGCTCATGCTAGCACAGCTATGTAAGAAACCCTCTGCGTCTGTGAGCAACCTGGAAGTCTCCCACCGATGCAGCTCAGGATCCCAACGATGGAAACGATCCAGTATCCCAGCTCCGGCGGCCTGACTCCCGCGAAGTTGCGGCTGCAAACTCAGCGAACTCTCTCTCTCTCCCCCATTTTTTTTTCGGAGGCCCAAGGCCGATGCAGCTCCTGCATGGCTTTGGGGCGGAGCTCAAGCTGCCTGCGCACTGACATCACCCTACACTTGCCCACTTGCTTGCCCTGAGCTTCGGCTTCTGCTCCTGGCCTTATGCTTTCGGCCAAGTCGGAAAAATGAAACATGGCGGAAACCCCACTACAAATGTGCCGATGGAGCTACAGAAGTCTATCAAAAAAGCCAGACACCTGGGTCACTCGCAGGCTCCGCTGGGCCGACCCTGGGCCGACCCTGTGAGAGTTCTTTGTTGCGGTCTTCGTGCAGGTTGTCTTTTTGGCTGATATGAACGATACTCGCAGATGAGGACTTGCATCTGACTTCGGGGGTTGAAGTGTTAAAGCTCGTCAAGCATGGGTTGCAACAGTTCGGGCCAGTTGTGCTTCGTCGTCATTCTCACACGTATACACATACAGCAACATCATGCACTGCGGCTCCTACAGTAGAATTTTGTCCCTTCTGATACGACAATGATAATCGCCCCGGCTGCTTGGCACATGCAGGACATTGAGAACTGTTTCCGCCATTCGGGGCGCTCTGGTTCTGAAAAATGAGAGGCATGTTCTTCCACGGTTTCGGGCATCACCAGCTTCCTTTGCAGGGGGCCGATGCAGCTTGCACTGGCGACCAACACATCCATGACTCCTCGAGATTGTAGGGGCTCGCCATCCCTTGTCATTCTCATGGTTCTCATGGTTCTCGGAGCTTCTCAGCCATGTGCAGGCGATCCGGGCATCAGAAGCGAAGGTCTGGCTCAAAGAAGCGGATGCGCCGCACAGGATTGCTCCAGTAGATGCGGCCGGACCTGTCCTTGCCAAAGCGTTCTACAAAGCAGCTAACATGACCGGCTTGTGCATGGTTGTACTCATCCTCTCTTTCAGGTGGTCCTGCTTCCGATGCCAGCTCGTATCCGACTCGTAAAAGCCTCGGCCACCGGATGCCACAAGCCATACCCCCAGAAGTTGACTGCGCGGACATAGGCGTCTGAGCTTGGAACTGAGAGCTGGGCAGTCCTCCCTTGACGGGCACTTCCAGTATGCACCCTGATCGTCAAACATTCGATGCCAGGCTTCGTTTTGGTACGGGTACGGTTCGGGCGGCGTCCATCTGGACTCCTCCAGGGAGGAAGCTTTTAATGGAAGTGGAGGGCACATAGGGAACATAGGGAACCCTTGGGTCGCATACGATGGCACACGTCTTTGCGCACCTGGTGCTCGGCATCCCAGAAGAATTGACGGCCATTGTCATCTAAAGACGCAACCCAGCCAGGGGACAACAATACGTCATCATTCGCCGAGCTTCTTGGACTGGAAGCCGCCACTGGCGGTGATGCCGTTCCTGATGCATGGCTTGCGCCGTGCGTCGGCGAGGTCGCTTCGTGGATTTGTGCATTCTCTCGGCATAGGGCACCATCGGCCAGAGGACTGGGAAATGTCGGACGCAGCCACTGCACCCTCAATGTTCTGAGACCTTGTACAGGTCAAGGCATCAAATCATGTGTGAAGCATTGCGAAGCCCTCGCCCCTTGGGCAAGCCGATGAGGCTGAAAGATGGAAAAGGCCGCAGGTGTCCTATGTTCTCAACCCCGCTAGGTTGGCCTCCCGTCTGCAGGGTCGTACGGCTTGCACATCTGTCGCGTGAGGGTGCCAAGTTATGAAGGCTGTGGTGGTCCATGAGCCCAAGGTCTGTCTACTGTTCACCAAAGAAATCGGCCCCAGCTCCCTAAAGCAAAGAGTGCTCGCTCGTATTGAGCAGCGCTTAGGCACTCAGCTCGGCTTCGTTTAGGCAGTTTCGGAAGTCTTGCCCCTTTTCTATCAGATTATCCGGCCGATGACGACCAGTTCATACAAGTACAATGTATGCTGGAATTAATACTTGTCGTTCCTCTCTTCTTTGTGGCACAGGTTCAGCGGTTCAGCATACGTCGCGCGTGAAGGTTGTCAGTCCACAAAGCACACAGAGAAACAACACAAGGATGCCGAAAGCGGGCCAGTCTGCAGTAGTAAAACCTGCGGCCATCCTCCGTCTCATGCTCTTCCCAATCATCGGGCAGAGGTCCTGCGTCGCAGCCTTGGATAGGCGAAGCCATCCAAAGGCAACAGAAGTCAGTCTGGGATCGCAACAAAGACCAGAAGACCAATATCCAACCAAAAGTACTCCAAAACTGTGTCAGCAAGGTACTTTGCTTCTTGTTTTTGCTGGCTTTCGCCGAAGATGTCGGACCTGGTTGCACCATGTTGCATTGTGGGCACAAGTTGTCCGCAGCAAAAAACCCTCTCTGGCGCCCGCACTGGGTGCCCCAGGATGGTCCCACTGGGTTTGGCTCGGCTGGTCCACCTTACGGCAAACAAGACTGCTCAAATTCGCTCGAACAAGAGCAACACGTGAGCCACGTGAGAAGAATCGTGGACCTCCGTAAAACTTAGTCGAGGAACGTGCCAAAAGTATGTCTTGCCCGTGGAAGGGTCGACATTTGACTCCCAGCCTTCCGGCAACGCTGCTTGCGCACCTCGAAGTCATCATGCTCTTCAGTTTCTGGAGAGCTTCGGCAATGAGCAATGCTGGGGCTGCTGCGGGGTGGCCGCTCCTGTCAAAGCCAGGAAAGACGCAGAGTCTGCTGCTCGACGTGTTTACTTGTCATTGAGGCCCTGGCAGGGGGTATGTCAAAGTTCTTGCCTGGGACATCGTCAGCGTCAGCGTCATAGGCATTGCAACGAAGTCAATGGCTGCACTCTCTTCACTTAACATCCACGTATGCACTCATTGGCCAGGATACGTTTCACAACCTCACCCGACTGCGTGTACACCAACTGATTCTTCTCCTCAGCTGTTTTGACAATTCTGCTCTTCTTGCAGGAAGGTGTTCGGTCCAAGGCTCCTTTATGAAGATGACGTCTTCATAAGACAGACCGCGCGCTTTCTTCACATGCCTGTTGCCTTGGTCCCGTGCATCACAAATGCCGATTCACACAACCTCCGAATGATCCAAGTCACCATCAAGGTGCATGTACATCCTTGGCTGAAGAATTCTCTTTCTTCATTCTGATACTGGAATGGCACATGCATCCTCAGCATTGGAGGCATGCCTCTGACTGACCTTGCTCGCCCGGGACTGGCAAAGAACGCCTCAGGTTTCGCCAGAAGAAACGACAAGGCTGCACGAAAGCGCACACATTGCGGCCGCTGTGCACCATCGAACCCAGCATGAAAGCTAGCTGCAGATGAGCTCATCCTTTTCCAGGCCCTTTTCCAAGATGACGTAGTCAGGCAGATTCCTTGCATCCCACTTCAACCCACTCAATGCAGAGCAATTTGAGAAACGGACCTGCAGGTGGGCGTATGTAGGAACGGAACATGAAGCACACCCAGAGCCGAGCTTGGCATGTCGCGAGATCGGCACAGCGACAACTCGGAATTTATCCATGTGCATGCCTGCACAAAACGAGCGTGTCTGATCGTGCCGGGTGTCCATAGCCTTTCGAAGGGGTCCTCCTTAATGATTACCGGCTCCAACTCCGGGTTCATTGCCTGGCAGCGGAATCTTCGGCACCGCAATTGCGCCGACTCCCGACTGAGTCCAGAAGCAAACAGCATCTTGCAAGAAGCACGGGAGGCATTGACAGAGTCTGACATGTATCCCTGTATCCCCTGGCACAGCTGCAAAGTTGACAACTGCCAAATTAACATCCTACTGTTGCAATGACAACAAAACCTCCGGCCTTCTGATGTCCCGCGGACTCTATGTGGTCTTTCACTGCTTTGAGGTCTCAGACAAACGCAGATTGCTTTAAAGGCTTAAAAGGTTTAAGCCTGATTGGAACCACATGGAACCACGTCACTCACTCCAAGTTTCGGCCGCGAGGCTCTGCAAAGTCTTCCCACACAGGCTGCATCCGAACTTGCCCTTGTCGGCCCCGTTGCTTCCATCCTAAAACAGTTCAAAGCACTTCAATCTGGGGCATTATCTTGGTTGCTGGCTCATGCTCGCTCTTCTTGCGTCAAAGGGTCTCCCATGAAGATGTGGTTGTGCTCGTGCTCCTCGAGGCAGTCGCCAAATCAGCCGGATCGATGAGTAATGAGTACGCAGTAAGAATGAATTAGCTCAGGGAAGGCTTGAACTTAACCAAGTAGATCTCGCCCCTCACTGGAAATACCTTCTACTGTAGTCCTCCTGCGCAACCATTTGCAACATCCCAACTCTCGGTCCTTCCTGTCCACCCTTATAACCTCATCTTTGAAATTGCTAACTCCTAGAGCTGATTTCCAGGTCAGCGGCATCTGTCAGATTTTCTTGAAGAGCCTGATCCATGCCCAGTCTCTGACGGATCTTCTTTGCCTGGTGCTTTGGGTCTCCGGTCCGTGAGCCATGAAGGTTCGTGAAGGTTCTGATTTGGACATGATGTGTCTTACTAAAGAACGATCCAACCACCATCACTTCAGAGGCACGTGGTTGTTGCCCATCACATGAGATCGGACGTTCTCTGGAGTGTTCATGGGGCCTTGATGGCAGAGCTGGCACCAGAGACCATCGTGACGCTTCTCGATGCCCTGCTCCCTCCAACCTTCCTGGAGCCTAAGCTGCCCTTCCACTGCCAGGCTTTCGACCTCGTCCTTCTTGTCTGGAAGTGCTTCAAGCTTCTCTCGCAGCAAAAAAGTGAAGTATGCGTCTTCGGCTGCATAAGTCACCTGCTCCGGCGTAAGCACCGGCTGTGCCCAGTTAGACCTGGCAATTCGTGGCTCCTTGCGAACTTTGAACTGGAAACGCTCCGCCAGTGACTTTAACCCATTTTCCTTCAGTCCCTTTTGCGCAGCCAATGTCGCCAGATCCAACAAGCCCGCCGGCTGCATGTCAAAGGAAGTCCGCATCTTATGCTTGTCTGAGCTGTCGAAGCCGACACAGATTTTGATGCATGCTTCCGACGTTAGGACTTCTTGGATGACATCCGGAAGCCAGTGTCCTGTTCTGTGAGTTCGAATAAGCAGCGCCGTGTCTGCATCAGCGAATTGCATGAGAGCAATTGGGTTATCGATTTCTTTTCGGTCAGGTGGCCACTCCAAGTCCCAGCCAATTGCTTGTTTAGTTCGGAGTTTCTCCTCCAGCCACTCAGCGCCAGGGAACTTCCGCGTTCTCGCATCGATGTCCGCCAGGTCAACTACAATCGGTTGCTTCGGAAATCTGTGGAAAATTGTGCCATCTTCCTCTGCTCTGCGCCCATGAAGTCTTCTGTGCATTCTCAGCCTGATGAGGACCGAATACCGTTCGACGCAGCTCAGCAAGCTTCTCTCATGATGCAGCCGAGGCAAGGTGGGCCAAAAGGTGTATGCTTGCTACTGCCAAAGCTGTCTCACAAGGCTGTCAACCTAAGGGGTGCATCCCAACACACCCTCGTCTTTAAAGTCGCATGAGCCTTGTTCGAGATAGTTTTGAACCTTCCATAAAGCTGCGACTCATTGCGTCTTGCTGCAAGGCTTCTCAGGAAGGGGACGACGCAGGCAACAGTCCACTATTTTGACCTGCCGAGTGCCGTGCGCATATGCTATCGCAGTTTGTACAGCGCGTGCACTAAGCCTCTATGAGCGAGACATGCAATGCCAGCTCCTTTAAAGAGCCCGCATGATGCGTTAGCAGCTGCCGCCATGGATTGTCAACAGACAGTCCGAAAAGGCGGCAGCTTCTCCTGATTTCTCAAGTTCCGAGGATCGTCGTGTCGAATTCTTGGAAGCTTTCCTGCTCCTGACATTGACTCTGAGATTCATGGAAGCATTCAACTCTTCATTCTGCAGTGTGCCTTCGTCGAGACTGCAGGTGCGGAGGCCTCTGTGCTTTCAGGATACCTGCACGGCACGGAAGTGTACCCAGAAATGGTGTACCCAGAAACGGATGCACCTGTCAAACATGGATGTGTCATCTTCTGATTGGACAGGAGGACGAAATGGTGGTGTGGCCTAAACAGATCATTTAGCCGTTTCAGAGGCAAGAGGACGTGCTGAGCGATCCAAGCGCGGCGCACTGCGGGTCAAGAGCAGGTCCCAGTCCATGCCCTGAGGTGTCTGCTAATTACGCTGCACCATGCTGCATGACTCGTTGCCTTGTACCACTTGTGCTTCTTCACATCTTCAACGCCCGCCCTGATCAATCTCACTCTCTCAGTCCAGCTATAAAGTCAGCTGCTTAACTTACAAATGAGCTCCCTCAATTCAACCTGCACAAAGTGCAATACTGTGTCATGCTGGACTGGTCTTCTCTCTAAACACCCCCAGCTGTTTGGCATCCAGGGCTCGGGCTTGAGGCAGCCCAGCCGCTTTGTCCGGTCCTGCTGCAGCAGCCGTTGTATGAGGTCCTTGGAGGCTCCGGCTCTTCCGAAGCGTGCCAGCCAAGAAGAAAATTAAAAAAAACCGATGCTCATCAGCATCCGAGCCTTGGCTTTGACATCGAAATGCCGTGGGAAGTCCACGTGGCCTTTCAGCACCTCCACAAAAACGGGTTAGCCCTCCGAAAACTGCCCAAAGCCCTGCGAGGCTTTGCGCTCTGCATTCGTTGCCGTCTTTGCCCGTCTTTGCCGTCTTCGTGCTACTTGCTGCGACTTGCGTCTTCAAGCCAGCCTTCTGATAGATGCCGTATGGATTCTCGTCATAGAAAGGAGGATATCCTGACCAGTCAACAATGGGTGAGCAATGGCAGCAGCTCATGAAGAGCTTGAAGTCTCCTGCCAGCATCTCATACAACAGGACGCCAAGAGCCCACCAGTCCACTCCCTGCCACCGCACTGGCTTCACAGACTCTTCCAATCTTCAGGACAAGTATCAGGAACAAGTGAGATGCCTTTCCATGACCCTTTGACTGGATCATCTCAGGAGCCAGGTACCTGGAAATGCCAAGTCGCCCGACGACACGCTGTGCAGATTCCCACAGGCGCACTCAGGCGTCCCACACAGCGTCCAGGTTCTTTCTTCCACAACCTGGCAGGGGGCGATCCCCGAACTGCATGGTTGCGGCCTTCGTCTCGCAAGGCCGAAAAAAATAATCCTCCAGAAAGAAGAGGGTTCCCTGCTTTGGGGGCCTTGGCAAAACCGAAGTCCGTCAGCTTGATGTGGCCTTCGAAGTCCAGAAGCGCGTTCCTCTTGGGGCATGGAGAGCAAAGAAGGAGCAAACAGGAAGCCAAAGAAGGCGAAGAAGCTACGGGATGCCCCAGTGCTGCAAAGAATCTCTGGCTTCAGGTCGCGGTAAACAACATGAAGACTGTGAAGGTACCTCTGAGACATGAATTCTAAAAACTAAACCAACAAGAGGGACTTTGTTTCAAAAAGAAAGCGCGCACCCGAAGGCGAGCAGAATCTCCTTACACGCAACTGCAAGATTGCACTGTGCAAATTGCACCGAAGAATGCACCTGCCTTGGTTCTAGGGTCCTCCCCTCACTTGTGCACTTACTTCGGGCCCGGCTTCTGCCCTTCAGGTGGGCCTCACTTGTGTCCTCCCTAATTTGCGCCCATCATGACAGCACAGCCTACGAAAAAGCCGCCCAGTAAAAGGCACCTGGGACGGCCGTGAGGGCCTTTACAGTTTAGGGTTCCGGCTTTTCGGTTTAGGGTCCAGGGCTTGGGTTGGGCTTGGGTTCTTCGGGTAGGATAGGGCTTGTAGGGATCGCATCAGGGCTCAGGCTATATTAGGGTTTAGGGCTTTGGGGGAGCAGAGTTTCGCTTCAGTAGTTTTGAGGGATCAGGGTTTGGGTTTCGCGGTTGGTTTAGGGCTTGTACAGTTTCGGGGTTTTGGGCCTAGGGCGTCGGGGTTTCAGGGCTAGGGCTTGGGCTCTACGGCTTTCGGGCATAGGACTTAGGGCTTAAGGCTTTAGGGTCTTTAGCGATCAGTGTTTTCGTGCTTGAATTTGTTTTAGAGTTTACGGCTTTTAGGGATTAGGACTCCGGCTTTACAGTCTAAGCTCAAGGATTGGGGTTCCGGGTTTCGGGCTGAAGGCCGCCAGTGCGATTGTGGGTTCTGGGATTTCAGACCCAGTCTTTGAGGGATGGGATGCCCTTGCGCAAGCAAAGCCCAATTCAATCCGTGATGTTCTTAGATACCGATGCCTTCAGACCCAGTCAATCCAAGCTATCTCACAGTTCAGACCACGACTGGCTCACACACAGACCACGACATCAATGATTAGCTGAGACGCGCCGGAATAGAAGCGAACATGGTCGTTTGGAAGACGCCCTTCTCTGCGCAAATACCTGCAGGAACAGCTCTCCGCTGAGAACCTCGCACTCGTCGCGTGCTTGCACTCCGATTTTGCCGAAGCATCACTGACTTTGCAGCTTGTACCAGCTCGTGCCGTCTCAGAACCCGCAGCGCGCGTCCAAGATCGGAATCCTTGGCCCCAACCCATTGTCTGAGGCCATGCATACCAAATACGATGCTCCCCTGCCTCCAGTCGCGTATGAGACCTCTCACTGTGACCTCCGCGTAATGGGATGGCATCTGCATAAGCAGAGACCCCTGGCATGTGGCAAGGCTCTGGACAGAATTGTGCCTGCAACAGGTTACGAAGACGACGGCTCTGTCATGTCTGAATCCAGGCCTCTTCAAACTCCAGGCGCAGTTTACAGAGATGCCTGATAACACACGAACACAGCACCGCTGCAATCTCAAGATTACACAAATTTTGCACAAGTCGCAGCGAATGCGGGCAGATTTTTGAGCCGAGCGGCCCGGAGAACTCCCGTAAAACTCGAGAGATGTCACCTGAGGAGCTTTGATCCAACAAATCAAAAGGAAGGGTGGGACCTTGAACACGCCAGACTGATTTATCTGATTTGTCCTGAGCTCGCATCTCAGACAGAAGCGCACAGCCTCGAACGGAGAACATCGCTCGGAGGAAACAAACGCAATTGTAGAACACGGAATGTAGCATACAGTGCTCGAATCTTGACGGTCAGCACCCGACACTGTGGGCATTGTCTGACTTTGGGGGGGCAAGCTCCAAATAGCTGCTTCCAGGCCTGCACTGCAACGCGCACCAATGCACTCTGTGCCGCTTCGGGGGTTGCTTTGAATCAGGGTCATGCCTCGCCTCAGTATCAATCGCATAGGTACCCAAGAGTCGGCCAGAGCCACTTGAACCGGTAGCCCGTTTTCCTACCAGGCACACATGTTGAAGACTAATGTGGCTCCACTGAATGGCTGGAGGAGCAACTGAAGCACAAGAAACACACTGTAGTTGGACCCCAAGCTGAAGCAGGTTCTGTTCAACTCCGTCTTGATGTTCCCTGTCAGTCTGCTTTAGAACTAGCACGAACTACCAGGTCTCCTCCCCCAAATGACTCGCCGGATTCTGCAGCCCATGCAGGCCCCCATCCCCCAGAATTCTGGAATGCCCAGCAGCCCCCTGAGCTAGAGAGCTCCAGCGTGCCACGGTGGATGTTCTTCAGCTGGTATGTGCAATGGCAGCGATAAAAGGGAATAGCTTTGTCTCAGGGTCTGAGAATCAGAGAGGCGCGAAAGAGAGATCAGCATGAGAGAGGGCTGAACCCAAGCGTGACATCCGTGAGGGAAAAATTTTCAAATAAAGCTTCACAAGCTGCACAAGACGCTTCTAACTTTCGAACTGCTGACACGAAGCGCACAAAGTTCAGAAAGTTTGGGAGCATCGTCAGAAAGGTCGTGCACACAGATGCCCACAGATTCCACATGGTTGCACCTTGATTTGCGCGGGCCCCATCTTCAACGAGTGGAACTTCTTCCCGTCTCAATCCGTTTCAACCCTGTTTAAGTGCTTTTGGCGTGGCAGTGTCGTGATATCTCGAGTTGAGAAGTCGGCCACACTCTTCATTCGGCCTCAAGCATCAAACCGATCGGCATGGGCTCCTGAATCCATGGTCTCGAGAGGTCTTAAGAGTAAAGATAAGTACTTCACTGGTCAGATTGGTCACACTCAGATGCACTCCTCGACGGCGACTGCTTCTGTCGGCCCTGGTACAAGTTTGAGTTCTGGGCCTGAGCCGGCATGGGTCTCCGCGCACAGCAGAGCGGGGAATGCACGGCTTTGCAGGAACTCTGGCTCCGGTAAGGCTGCAACATGCCATCTTCGGCGGGGCGGGAGCGGGCCTACCAGTCCAAGTCAACAATCCATATGGTTCCATGCTCACGCAGTACCCAGAGAGGGGCTCCTGAAATGCATCGTGGCCGTGGCCACGAGTTCGTGATCTGCCGCTTCAATTTTGTCCGGCTCAGCCGGTTCAACCAGATCATCCAACTTCAAGGCGATATCATCGACTCTTTGTAGCAGGCTTGTTGCCGCACCCTCCAACCATGAGGCGGGCCACAACCACTGGTCATTTGCATCCTCCTCAAATGCAGCATTTTGCTGAGCAGGGAGGTCCTCTTCACCGTGGTGGAGCTCGTTTTGGAGCTCTCTCTCCTTCTGGAGCTGCGTCAGAACAGAAGCCAGGAAGCCCCTGAACTCACGGAGTCCAACACTTTGCTCCTCAGCAACGGTCGCCCCGAAGACTTCGGAGATCTTGCTCATCGTCTCTTTGGCTCGTCCTCCAAAGCTGAAGATCAGTCGTTGCGTGAGAGAATAGAGCTGCTGCCGTGAAAGGCTGACGTTTTCGGCGAATGTCTCAGGAGCGTTGCCAACTGCATCCATCATCATTGCCATGCAAGCACGATCGAGCTGAGAAACGTCCCCCAGAAACAGCTCAATCTCCACAATCACCTCTTTCCAGTCAGCCACTGCATTGCCAATTTCGCTCAGATCATCATCACTGATACCACTGTGAAGCTGGGCAGCTTCCAATATTTGAGAGATGTTCAATCCACCTCCCGTCACCTGCGCATTCATTCAAATCCACTGGACCATGGCTTCGACTTGGCATCTGCTCACAGTTGGAACTGCATCTGATGATGGTCAGCTACTAGTAGCAGGTTGCTGCGACCGCTTGTGGCGTGAGGATGCGTGAATTGCACAGCTATCATGTGGCTTCGCACTTGAGCACGCAAGGCCTCATGAGCACGTCAACGGGTGCCAAGCTTTTGGTTGGTCGAAGCGGGTCGATTCAAGGTTCGCACGAAAACAGCTCGCCACCATTCACGTACTCCAGCAGCATGAAGAGTCGCCTTTCATCCTGAGGGAATGCAAGCCAGGACATGCGCGTGGTTCAGCAAGCACTGGTTGCCAACTGTGGCAAGTAGTTGTTAACTTCAAGGCAACTTTAGTTCTCCGTACGGGTCAGCCAGCATACTGCGACGTCCTGAAAGGCACCCAGCAAGTTGACGATGAAAGGGTGTTCGACCATTGACATGATCTGCTTCTCCGCCTTCACATGCTCCACCTGCATATCCATGAATCGAGCCACTTACTTGCAGCCCACACTTTTCAGCGCGTGCAGAACACCAAGCGAACGGTGCACGTTTTTTGCCACGAAAAAGCAGTGCCAGCATGGGTCTCCGGGAGCTCGCGCTGACCGAACGATTGGGCAAACGACCCTGAGGCGGAGTTCCCCCAAACTTTGCGCAGCAAACCCGCCAATTCGAGGACAGTTGGGTCGACCGATTTGATGCCGTCCCTCTCCCTGAGACGAAGGGGAGCTCGCCGAATGGGCACTGCTATGGAGTGTCCCGTCCTTTGTGAGCCCGTGTCCCCGCCAGGATTTCTCAATGCAGCTGGCGAGGGCCATGACAGACATTCTTCCTTCGTACAGAACTTGGGTCATGAGTAAGGCAGATGCCTGCGCTTCCAAACAAGTGCTTGCGGTTGCGATTGGGGCACACTGTGTCCCGCTCGGCAAAAGGCGTCTTTCGGCGCTTGTGCCTGAACACTGAATGGAATTGAGGAATTGCACCTCGACGGCCGCTGATCGTGAGAGGCATAGCCCTTATCAGAGGCCTCGAGGCCCCGATCGCATAAAACCCCAAACACCCAAACACCGGGGCTTGTGAGAGAACGGACATCCCTGTTCCGACGGGCTTTCAAGTTTTCAGGGCTTGCGCCATCTGCGGATTCAGCCTAACCTCGGAGGCCAGTTAGCAGACAAACGTCACTTCATGGCCTGGCAACGGCCGGCAAGCTCGGCACTGGCAGGCAAGCCAAACGGCTGACATGCTTAGTAGCAAATTTCAGATTGTAACTTAGGTATCGAAACACTGATTGCATGTCACTGCTTTGGCTTTCATGGGCATAGCATGGTGACCACAGCCCACCTGCTTAAGCCGGATCACGTCGGCCTTGCGGAGGATTTTCAGAACCATTGGAGTCCTGCAATCTTGCGCTTGCGAGAGGCTGCAAACAGAGAGAGGGAGAGAGGGAGAGAGGGAGAGAGGGAGAGAGGGAGAGAGGGAGAGAGGAGAGAGGGAGAGAGGGAGAGCGGGGAGGAGAGAGGGAGAGAGGGAGGAGGGCGAAAGAGAGGGGGAGGAGAGGGAGGAAGAATGAGAGGGGAGAGAGGGATGAGAGAAGGCGAGGGAGAGAGGGAGAGAGGGAGGAGGAGGGATGAAGGGGAGAGAGGGAGAGAGGGAGAGATGGGAAGAGAGGGAGAGAGGGAGAGAGGGAGAGAGGGAGAAGGAGTAGGGAGAGGGGGAAGAGGGAGGGGATGCGGGGATGAGGAGGAGAGAGGGGAGATAGAGAGGGAGAGAGGGATCCAGAGAGGGAGAGAGGGAGGAGAGGGACGAGGAGGAGTGAGGGAGAGAGGGGAAGAGAGGGAGAGAAGGATGAGAGGAGAGAGAGGGATGAGAGGGAGAGAGGGAGAGAGGAGCAGAGAGGGAGAGAGGGATTTGAGAGGGGAGAGGGGAGAGCGGGAGAAGCGAGAGGGGAGGAGAGAGGGAGAGAGGGGCCGAGAGAGAGGGAGAGGAGGAGGGAGAGAGGGAGAGAGGGAGAGAGGGAGGAGGGATTGGAGGGAGAGAGGGAGAGAGGGAGAAGAGAGGGACGAGGAGTGTGTGAGAGAGGGAGAGACGAGAGGGAGAGAGGGAGAGAGGGACGAGAGGGAGAGAGGGAGAGAGGGAGGAGAGGGAAGCAGAGAGGGAGCGAGAGGGGAGGGAGCGGGAGAGAGGGAATGGAAGAAGGGAGAGAGGGAGAGGGAGGAGAGGAGGGACGGAGAGATTTTGAAGGTTGAGAGCGGAGGGGAGAGAGGGGAATGAGAGGGAGAGAGGGAGAGAGGAGAGAGGTCGAAGAGAGGAGAGCGGGAGAGAGGGGAGAATGAGAGGGAGAGAGGGAGAGAGGGAGCGAGGGAGCGAGGGAGCGAGGGAGCGAGGGAGGGAGGGAGGGAGGGAGGGAGAGAGGGAGCGAGGGAGCGAGGGAGCGAGGGAGCGAGGGAGGGAGGGAGAGAGGGAGAGAGGGAGAGAGGGAGAGAGGGAGAGCGAGCGGGAGAGCGAGAGGGAGAGAGAGAGTGAGAGTTTTGTGAGGTAAAGAAGCCTGAGTTATCGTGCTCGAGACGAGCCTCTCTTGGCTTGACTTCATTTTCACCACGCGCACGCGGCTGAAAGTGCCTTTTCCCACCTTGACGAAGGCTTGCCATCTCTGCTTCAGTTTTTTGCTCTCGACTCTTTGGTATGGCTACCACTGCGGCTACCACTGCGGCTACCACTGTGTCTTTCAGCTCGAAGTCGGTGAAGGCCCATGCCCGCCCCTTCGTCCAAGCCTCCACCATCACGTGGAGAGCAGTGTCGCAAGAAACAGAAGAACGCATGCACGCGCGCCTTTAGCTGCGAAATGGGCAGAGATTTCGTGGAGTTGGCCACATCCTGCAGATCTTGAAGCCTTGTCCATGGGTTGATCAGGAATGGGATGAAGCGTCCTGTGGATCGTCATCCTTCAAGAGGTACCTGACGGAGACATGCAGACATGAGCGACGTCGCTTTTTCCCTTTGCCAAATTCAAATGAACTTCTTGGTGCCAGGCCCTTTCCGCATCTGCTTGGCAAGTCCATGAAAGCCAAACTCGTGACTAACTATCACAAGTTAGCTTGTGATTCAAACATTGCTGACTGCACACGGCGCAGTGCTAAGCTTATGTCGTCTAGGTAAGGTCAGTGAAAGCCAGACTGAATGTGGCATCCGATCTTGTGTAACGAGCGTGTGTCTCTAAATGTGTCAGGTCGGAATGCTTTTGATGCCAATTCGACGCTACCCAGCTGAACTGAAACCGGAAGAAGTGGAAAGACTCCAAACTGCCCGGAAGAACTACCTTTGCAAAGTTGTACTCAACGGGACAGTACAGGCACAGACGCCCAGCCCTTGTCCTTTCATGAACGCGGCACGCAGCTATGTACAGACAGGTCGCGTTTGTCGACCAAATCGTGGCTGCTAGGCGCTTTGAACGTTGAAGCAGTGCCTGCTTACGTTAAAACCTGGAGCATCAACGTGTGTCAACTGCAGCCCTTGTTGTGGCTTTGCCACTGGCCGAGTTCTAAAACGAGTTGTAAGAGCTGCCACAAGGGGTAGTTCGTTGAGCTGAAATGTATGAGAAATGTGGTTGCAATAGCTATCGCTTCTGGAACTGCCCCGTCACGGCGAACCCAAGAGATCGGAAGCCTGGAAATGACTCAAACTCAATTGAAGCAAAGGAACGCATGCACTCGCCCAATCGCACCTTTCACCTAGTTTGCAATCGAGGCCAGGGCCAAACCACCGGCAATCTGGCTTGCGACGACCTTTCGGCTGCCGAGGGACAAAGCCAGCAAAACTCATCAAAGCACATCAAAGCCCCCAGAAGCCCTCGAGAAACGCTTTCTGGATGAATGAGAGTCTTGATTTCAGGTCTTTTCCACGTGACATGCCCAATACAGGCTGCAAAGAAAGCGCTTCGTGCGCAGAAATCAAAGGACAGCACCTACTTATACATGCAGGCAGGCTCTCGCAAGCGGCAGCGCCATTCTTGAAGTAAGGCTGGCGAGGCTGTGTGCTTCATTAGGCTCCATTGAGATCTCAAAGCCACCTGCTTGCCTCATCTTGCCTCAGCACACCTCGTTTGCGGGGTCACCCGGGTCACCCTGGCTTTCGTTGAGGCGCAAGTGCCAACCGGTGCCCTGGAGCACTCTTGCTCTTAGAATGGCTCTGCAAACATCGCGACCTCGTCAGCAGGGAAGGGCATCAGCCGGGCTGATCAGCATGTGCCCGGCGATCTCTCCGAACGGCGAGTTTTGCGCACGGCGAAAGCCACATTTGTTGTGCTGCAGGCTGCGACACATCATTTCCAGCCCCGCCCACTCCTACATCCGAGGTCTTATCTCAAAAATGATTTGAACAGGGGCGGCGCACGTCGCTTCCGCGGCTGGATCCAGCGTCCGAGACCGCTGCTTCGCCTGCCAAAGATGGGAGGAAACGCCCCAAGCTCGGATGCTCCGCTGCGCTTCGAGGGGCCGAGGCCCAGACCAGGATCATTCTCGTTTTGGCCTGCACGCAGGACGTTCTGCAAAGTAGCATCCGCCAGCGACTCCTGACCGGCACAACTGAAACATTGGCATCAGGAAACGTTCATGCTGAGAGAGTGGGAAGTGAATGCCAACTAGCAGCTGCAGTCCTAAGCTCTGCGCACGACTAACCAAGCACATGCAAGATCATGCAAGGCACACTGACTAAAATGTGTGCATAGAGTCGTGAGGATTTGCTGCGCCACGCTGTGGCAGTGTGTTGTCTCGTCGGCAGGAAAGTCCTCCACGAAAGACGTCGGAGTTGCTGGAGGGCACGCGATCTCCACCACAGGCGACAGTCCTTCAACGGAGGTTCAGATTCTTGTACCATATATGTAAAAACATCTGTGCGGAGCCAACATCAGAATTCACCGGGTACCGTTTACGACAACAGGTTCTCGTGCTGAACCTCCATGATCTGCAGAGTTGCAGTATCTCAGAACGATAGCATCCTGATTGTCGTCCAGGAGGTGAAGAGCAACACCGCTCCTGCTCCTTAGCTTCGCGAAGGCATGGCGATAGCACCATGCGTTGAACCTGGAGTCCGCCTCCATGACAGCTGCGGAAAAGGCTTTGGAGAGCACCTGAAACTCAGACTCAACCAGGCATGATGACATGACAGCTACAGCTATATATGCCACATGCCTGACCTCTGCCACCTCTGCATCTGCAAGGTCCTGTGCGTTATGTGAATGCAATGAATGCAGTACGAGTTTAAGGAGTATAGCTTCTCTGACCGGTGCGCAGACACATGGCTTGCACAATGGACTCCGAATACAAGAATCGCCTCCTCATCAGGTGTTCTCAGCACTGAAAGCCTGAGAGTCTAAGCGTAGGCAATGCAAGTTGGCAAGACAACACAGAACTGCAATAGAATGGTAGCACAAACAGCCCTGGAAGCCGACTGATCTTGGAGCTTTTTGTGGAACATCTCGGTCGAGCTCGCATCATCCTGGCTACACGTGACCACACAGTACCACACATGGAGCCCGCTCAGGTCTCGGAATGTGGCGACCTATTGGGACATTCACACATGTCTCGCCCTGCACATGATAACCAGAAACAGTTTCTGGTTTCAGTGCCTCATCCTCATGGCGTGAGTTATGGACCGTGCCACCATGAAGGCTATTATGTACCATATTGCACCCTCAACTTGCAGTTGAGGGAAGGACCGTGCCACCACATACACTTTCCAGCCTTGATTTGTCATCAAATGAACGCACAAAAAGGGCTGCCTCGAGGTCGTGAAACATTTGAAACTGAGCTGCCGGCTCGGTCTGCACAATGCCTTCAACCAAGGACTGTCCCGGTGCAGCAGAATCCTGATGTGGATCTGACACTTCACCGTGAGTGGCAATGGCTACGTGTGGATCAGTATAGGGTAGCCCCTTTGATGGTGCAAGTGGCAGGGTGCGGTTGCACTAACTGAGCCCGTGCTGGCCGCTAACGCAAATCCATGGGCCAAGGTTGCGGGTACCGGACTATGATTCCGTCCCTCCCTAAGGCCTGTTTCATCTATCCGAATATACGATGCACCAAACAGCCCTCCGCCTTGTCTTGGGGCGGCCAATTAGTTAATTCGTTGGCAAGGAACTACCATTTCCAAGTTTCAACCCCCCACCCTCAAGCCGAGCGATGCAAATAAAAAATACTCGAAAGCAGGGCGCCGCGCCTCTTGCAAAGTGATGATGCTGCTCTTGGCCTCTGCAACAATAGACTCACTGACTCTATGTCAGGACAACAAGATGACTGACTAGACGAACTGCACGCGACAGTGTTCAGCAAGCTGTTTCACTGGCTTCCAGCATTCCACCGAACAGAGTTTCTTTTGTTAAAATTCGTTCGTTCACACACCAGCCGCAGACATGTTCCCGACTCTGGAGTAGTCAGTGTACTCTCCTAGTCTTGTTGAGCAAAAACCCCGGGGTCAGGCATTGCTCTAAGTAGCTCTCAGACTGGCTCTGAGCTAGACACGCTGGCCTCTGCATCTTGAAACCAACACCATGACTACGTATAATGCTTTGATGAAGCAGCTTCAACATTCGAACCAAGCCACTGTTCTCTATTCATGCGTCGTGTTCGCTGGCTCACTTACTCCTTATAATAGAGAACGTGAAGAGAACATGTGAAGTGAATTACAAACGAATGCAATGAGTGCGTGAATTAACTGAACACGTGAACGAAACCCACAGTTGATGATTCATAGACTTGGAAATGAAGGTGAAAGGAATGAACTAAAAAGGCCCTATCATTTTTCCCTTTTGGCCTTTTTAAGTGAATGAGCGAGCCGAATGAACAAGCGAGGAAAGTAGAAAACAAAAGCTCTGCCGCGCGAACACACACGAAATAGCACGAAGCAAGGAGCTGCTTCCCTGAGTTTGGCTGAACACCTCTGACCTGCTGCTCATTGAATCATTGCACCGGAGCCACGTCACTAAAGAGACCTCTCGAACCGAGCGGTTTCACGAAGCAGAACTGTGGGACTGAAATATGCGCTGAGCACGGTTGAAGAACAGAAATTGAAGAGAGGAGGCCTGCTGCAATACTGGCAATACTGTTTACTTGGTCTTCACAGCCTCCGCTGAGGTGGCGCTCGGAAGGCAACTGCCTGGATGGACGCGCGGCCTTGGAGCCGATTCCAGGGCTTCTGATGGCTTCTGCCAAGCGACAGGCTCAGATCTCGAGGCTCAAGTCTCAGGCTCCTTGAAGACGCTTTCGACTGCTTTGAACTCGGAGGCCTGAAGAGTCAACATAGCAGTCAATCTGACGCTGCTGTTTTTTCAGGGCCACGGCCTGAGACCCCTCTTGTGCACTTTGTCTCCCGCTTAGCGGCACCTGCATAGCCAACACTTGAATGCTGCCTCGAAGAACAAGTGCTGCAGCTACGGAGATAATTTCAGGTCCCAGCTGTTTCGGCGGAGGGCGTTACCGTTGCAGGTCGCAAACTCAGTTCGGAATTCAAATTCACGGCAGCACGAAAAGGCTCTACCCACAGCATCAAGCCGCAAACCCTTCGACGATGCCAGCAACAATGGCGCGGCTGCTTCGTCCTGCCTCATCCTGTCACAACATCAATGAATACCGGCAAGTTGCACGGACACATCACCAGAGCGTTGCCTCCGCAGCGTTGAAATCCTTGCTTGCGCAGTCAGTTCCGAGTTCGGACAGCATCATTCAGGATTGCTTATGCCGACAGAGGAGCACACACTAAACTTCAGACGTCGTTGCTCACGGCTCCGTGTTGTGAAGCCGAGGGCAGAGCTTCTTTGGGATCCGAGATGCGATCAGTGCGGGCCACGCTCATCTGCACCTGGGAGCTCGACCGCCACATCAAGACGCACGCCCCAAAGCAAAGAGCCGTGCTGCAATCAACATCAGTGCACGCACTTTCAGGTCCAAGCTGTTTCGGCAGAGGGCGTTTCCGTCGAGGCTCGCAGACTCAGATTGAGTTGCGGCTTGCAGCTCCACGACTTCGCTGCGCACCGCAATAAGCTGCAAGCCCATGGAAGATGCCGGCAACAATGGCGTCGTTGCTTCGTCCAACCACATCCTGTCACAACACCAACGCATACCGGCACGAACTTGCATGGACACATCACGAGCGTCTGGCCTCCGCTTGCACAGGACCTGGCCTGGTAGAGGGGACGGCGGCAGTGTCCTGACGGAGGAGCCGAGTTCACAAGCTAAGCCTTCAGCTTCATATTTAAGGGGGTCGTTGCAAGCGCACTTCAAGCTTTTCATTTGCGTTTCCAACCCATCCTCCGGGCTGGTGCGATCAGTGCGAGCCATGCTCATCTGCACCTGGGAGCTCGACAGCCGCTTCAAGACGCACGCCCCAAAGCAAAGAGCCGTGCTGCAATCAACATCAGTGCACGCACTTTCAGGTCCAAGCTGTTTCGGCAGAGGGCGTTTCCGTCGAGGCTCGCAGACTCAGATTGAGTTGCGGCTTGCAGCTCCACGACTTCGCTGCGCACCGCAATAAGCTGCAAGCCCATGGAAGATGCCGGCAACAATGGCGTCGTTGCTTCGTCCAACCACATCCTGTCACAACACCAACGCATACCGGCACGAACTTGCATGGACACATCACGAGCGTCTGGCCTCCGCTTGCACAGGACCTGGCCTGGTAGAGGGGACGGCGGCAGTGTCCTGACGGAGGAGCCGAGTTCACAAGCTAAGCCTTCAGCTTCATATTTAAGGGGGTCGTTGCAAGCGCACTTCAAGCTTTTCATTTGCGTTTCCAACCCATCCTCCGGGCTGGTGCGATCAGTGCGAGCCATGCTCATCTGCACCTGGGAGCTCGACAGCCGCTTCAAGACGCACGCCCCAAAGCAAAGAGCCGTGCTGCAATCAACATCAGTGCACGCACTTTCAGGTCCAAGCTGTTTCGGCAGAGGGCGTTTCCGTCGAGGCTCGCAGACTCAGATTGAGTTGCGGCTTGCAGCTCCACGACTTCGCTGCCGACCGCAATAAGCTGCAAGCCCATGGATGATGTCGGCAACAAGGGCATCATTGCTTTGTCCATCGACATCCTGTCGCAACATTTCCAACGTGCATGCACCAAGTGACGAAAATCGATTTACATCGATACGCCGATATCCCATATCCCCGCCCCGTCGATGCGCCGATATCCCCCCCACCCCGCCCCATGCACCGACATGTGGATACGCCGATATCCGATATCCCCCCCCCCTACCCCGCCCCATCGCTCCCAGAAAATACGATGATATCTCCCCTCCGCACCCCACATGCCCATACGCCGTTACGCCGGTACGCCGGTCGCTGAAAAGCGCGCGGAGGGGGGGGGGGTCGATGTATCGGTGTGTTACCGGTGAAGGGGGGGAATATCGGTGTATGTCGGAAAGCCGGTACGCCGATAGGCCGATATGCCGACACAGAAGGAGGGAGTATCGGTGTATATCGTTGTGCCGGTACGCTGATATGATCATGGTGACATTGGTGTATAAGATTGTATAAGTGCATTTCGGCTTTTGTGCCCCCTCTGCAGGCGCCCCTCAACATTCAACGCATACCGGCACGAACTTGCATGGACACATCACGAGCGTCTGGCCTCCGCTTGCACAGGACCTGGCCTGGTAGAGGGGACGTCGGCAGTGTCCTGACGGAGGAGCCGAGTTCACAAGCTAAGCCTTCAGCTTCATAAGGGGGTCGTTGCAAGCGCACTTCAAGCTTTTCATTTGCGTTTCCAACCCATCCTCCGGGCTGGTGCGATCAGTGCGAGCCATGCTCATCTGCACCTGGGAGCTCGACAGCCGCTTCAAGACGCACGCCCCAAAGCAAAGAGCCGTGCTGCAATCAACATCAGTGCACGCACTTTCAGGTCCAAGCTGTTTCGGCAGAGGGCGTTTCCGTCGAGGCTCGCAGACTCAGATTGAGTTGCGGCTTGCAGCTCCACGACTTCGCTGCCGACCGCAATAAGCTGCAAGCCCATGGATGATGTCGGCAACAAGGGCATCATTGCTTTGTCCATCGACATCCTGTCGCAACATTTCCAACGTGCATGCACCAAGTGACGAAAATCGATTTACGTCGATGCCGATATCCCATATCCCCGCCCCGTCGATGCGCCGATATCCCCCCCACCCCGCCCCATGCACCGACATGTGGATACGCCGATATCCGATATCCCCCCCCCCTACCCCGCCCCATCCCTCCCAGAAAATACGACGATATCTCCCCTCCGCACCCCACACGCCCATACGCCGTTACGCCGGTACGCCGGTCGCTGAAAAGCGCGCGGAGGGGGGGGGGGTCGATGTATCGGTGTGTTACCGGTGAAGGGGGGGAATATCGGTGTATGTCGGAAAGCCGGTACGCCGATAGGCCGATATGCCGACACAGAAGGAGGGAGTATCGGTGTATATCGTTGTGCCGGTACGCTGATATGATCATGGTGACATTGGTGTATAAGATTGTATAAGTGCATTTCGGCTTTTGTGCCCCCTCTGCAGGCGCCCTGCAACATTCAACGCATACCGGCACGAACATGCATGGACACATCACGAGCGTCTGGCCTCCGCTTGCACGGGACCTGGCCTGGTAGAGGGGACGGCGGCAGTGTCCTGACGGAGGAGCCGAGTTCACAAGCTAAGCCTTCAGCTTCATAAGGGGGTCGTTGCAAGCGCACTTCAAGCTTTTCATTTGCGTTTCCAACCCATCCTCCGGGCTGGTGCGATCAGTGCGAGCCATGCTCATCTGCACCTGGCAGCTCGACAGCCGCAGCAAAGAGCAGAGCAAAGGAGCAAGTAAAAGCTCCTGGCCGTCTCGGCCGAGGGAGTGGTCACGGGTCGTAACCTTGGATCTGACTTAGCGTGCGATACATTTTGAGTATTATGGCACATGTGGGCTTGACAGCTGCACATCTCACTGTTAAGAAGTTGTTCCATTCTCCCGCTTCCACCTATACGGGGCCACCTGTAGCACTGGACATGTCCAAAGGAAACGGTAGGGGCTCGACACGGGGTCACCGGAACTGGCCTTTCGAGGGGCTAGGTGTGTGCAGCAATGGCAAACTGCACGTGAGCACTGAGCCTCGACTTCCAGCCTCGGTCACAGAAAACACGCAAAACACACTCACAACTGGCAAAGAGGGCATTCCCGTCGACTCTCACGGTGATGTCCAACTGGCAAAAAGCGATTCTTTGTGCTGAGCTGCCCTGTCGACATGAGGTCGTTCACAAGCTGCCGACACAGACTGCTGCACGCGTCCTCGTGAAAGCCCATCAGCATCTCTCATGCAGTTTCCATGTTTGGTTGCACGTGAGGAAGGCTTGCTCTGGCGGAGCTTTTCCGGGTAACACCATCCGAGCACAACATATCGCAAGCCTCACTCTTACATGCAGCCTGGCGCTGCACACTTCACAGTTTCTGTCTAGACATGCGGCCTACACAAGACACAAGCGGTTACGAGCTCCTCATTGCTCGGCCTCAGTGGGGCAGGTCACATCCAAAAGACTCGCCAAGTGTGTGTGTGTGTGTGTCCATTTCGGTCCAGGAGCTCTCTGTGCTGAACAGGCTCTGCAGGTCTCGCATCATCCTAGCAGTTTGGTTGTCGCAAATTTTGAGCCTACTCACCAGACTCCGTGTCATGACCGTCAAAGTTTCTCAGCTCGCCTGACCGACTCTCAGCTGCCCTATCAGCGCCAGCCTTGCATCGTCACGCAAAGATTCCGCCAACACAAGGTGTGAGAACTTCGCCATCGTACCACGAGCATCCCACTCGGATTGCATGACCTGGCCAATGATCTTGTCAACGGTAGTGTCAGAATCCTCGGCTGTCGAGCTTGCGACATCTGTCATGCCATGCAGTCTTGTCTTCATTCCATCCAGTCGCACTGGTGCACTTTTGACAGTATGCGTCGAAGATTAGCTACCATGCGCGGAACATGCGTATCCAAGGCCTCTGGCCACTGGCCGTTTGCATGCTGAACACTCCAAAGGATCTTCCCTCCACGTCTCCCTCGTGCTTCTTCACCCCGGCCCTAACCCTCCAGTCGTGCATACGAGTACCATCCTTCAGGATTGGTCAAGGCATATAGCCTGCGCGCACACCACAGAGCCTGACCTCTTTTGGTGCAGAGGGTTTGCGGGCCTCCTGACACGCAGATTAGTGCATGTGACTGTCTCCGGCTGTTGGATGCCCTTTGCATCTCCGGAAGTGCTGCTGCTGCTTTTGCCGCTGCCGCCGACGCCGCCGACACAGATCTATAGCAGCCCTTGCTGTTGACTCTATCGGCAGACGCACGAAGTGTTTACGACTAGTCGAGTGCCACGATACAAGCTGCCTCAACGACGACGCTACCGGCATCAGAACGTGGTTGAGGCAAGCAAACCTGCATGCGGGAAAGTTTGTAGATGCCGCAGCAAACTCCTGTGCATGCAACCGGCCTGATCAAACGCACCAGAACTTGCCTGCAACCTGACATGTGGCCACAAGAATTCGGGGATGCCGGTGCTGTACAAGAAAGTTTGAGCCCCCAACCCACTCCGAATGACTTCACGGATGATCTGCTCGCTTGTGCCAGCAACGGCTTCCTTCGGAGAATGTTCATCCCATCATGCGAGCATACCAATCCCCAAGCAGCCAGACGTCACAACAGTACACCCCGAATACACTTTCAGACACCTAACGCTGCATCAAAGAGCTGTTCCCAAGAAGTGCTCTATGAACCGGTGCACGAGCAGAAGAGGGTGCTGGCAGCACTGAAGACACTGCAAAAGGATGTGCAGCAGCGGTCCGTGTCACATGCGCCCGCCTCCACCACACTTCCGGGACCAGAGATCCCTTGGACCGTATACGCCGAGACCTTACTGCCGTCACGAGTTCAGGTGGCGATTGCCCAATTACCCAATGAGCTCAGCAGCCCCGCCTAACCGGTATTCACAGGTCTATCCAATTTGAGGCCAGCGCAGCTGCGGGAGTTGCAAACTCTCGCAGCAGCTCAAGCCTCGGCATGCGGAAGCACGACATCACATGGGGGGGGGCACATCGGAACACCACCCTTTGCTCAGCCCGAGCCCAAGGCTCCTTCGGCCCAAGCTCATCCAGATTCCGCCGAAGCTGGTTCAGGCAAAGGTCAACGGTTCACCAGTTCGCTAGCAAGAAATCTGCTTGCCTTCAATATGTCAGTTCGCCTCGGCTTCCAGCCGAGAGGCGTCTAGAACAAGCAGACCAGGATCTGGTCTCCTTCCCCCTTCCGCCCCGCTCCCACCCACCCCCCCCCCCCCCCCCCGCGTCCGCCCAAACCGCTTGGAGGAGCCTCCCTGAAACCTTCCTGGCGCCCTGACACCCCCTAGGACCATTGCCACGCTACGCTACACCCCAGGCTGGACCAGCCCGCTGCTGAGGCAGCGTGCAAGCGCTTACGATTGAAAACCTCCCTCATGTCTGAGCTGCCCCCGAGAGCCCCCAAGTCCAACCAAGTCCAACATTCCGTGGCAAAGGTGGAGCCGCTGCAAGGCCTCCACCTCCCACGTCCCGGGTTTCGGGGCCTGGGCCGCTAAAGTGCGGAGCAAAGGAGGGAGCAAAAGAGGTGGCAAGCGCCCGCAAGCGTGTTCAAGCGCTCTTGGCAAGCGACTGGTGCGGAGCTGACGTAGTCGTAGCCATACCTGGACACGGCATCCCTGTCTTACTTTTGTTCCTTCGATATAATTGACTCCCCATGATAGCTGGGAAAACCATGCCAGCCTTTGCTGAAATTGTTCGCGCACTGCCTTGAGCACCCATCCTGGCATCTTACTTTTGGACACATCTGCAACAGTTTGTGCGAAACTCTCAAAAACACAGATCCATGAGTCCGAGCCTAAGGGCGGCAGCGGATCATCCTCCAGGACTCTGTCTGCATGTCTCAACACCTCACGAATGGTGAAAAGCTTTGCAGATTCTGCTGTCACACGCCACTAGACTGCTTGACAGCGCATGATGTCCACAGCCTGCCTGGAGGAAGGCAGCCTCTCAAACTGCACGCACCCGGAAACGGTATGGCTGAACTTCTGCATTCCAGGAGATGGCCTCCTTCCCTTCACAGCTGGACTACCAACAATTGACGAGGACCCCGCCCGAAGCATCTCCCTATCTCTCATAGAAACATTCCCGTTCCTTGCCCTGGCTTTTCAGCGCCCGCCTGTGTTCGAACCCCGTTGTGTTTCATCCCTCACTCCCTCCTTGTTGACCCCGCATCATTCTACTGGTACTTGGGGAGCTTCTGGGCTCAAGGGCTGTCGATAATCGAAAAGGATTAGATGGAGGAAAGGCATCAATAAGATGCCTTTAGAAGACCCAACCTCTGTTTCCAACCCATGACCAACCCACGCTCGGAACCCCAATAGCAAGTTCTCCACAAGTCATTAAATCTACCATTCTCACCACGACACCCAAGATTCGAGGCTGAGAGAATGGAGACGGAGACCGTCACAGGGTACGCTGTCTATGTTGGACCAGCGCAGGTCATCAGTCTCTTGGCCCCTTCATGAAACCCTGCGCACTCACAAGCACCACATCCACATACAGAAGTCACACTCGTTAAACCCTGTCACACCTGGAGACTCAACCTCTGTTGGCATCAACCCTTGACAGTTCCTGTCATGTAGGGCGTAGGTAGGATGAGTTTTCAAAAGGGAAGGGTTCACAAAAACCCCCGCAAGCCTCTTCCACCTCGGACACCATGCCCAGGAGTCCAATCCTTTGAGGCTTCAAGCTGCAGTGTTCTGCCCTTTGCTATGCTAGGCGTGCTATGCGGGCTATGCGTGCTATGCGTGCTACGCGTGCTACGCATGGTATGCGTGCTATGCATGGGTGGCTACGGAAGAAACCTCCGTCTGATCATCTGGTTTTACAGTGCCAGCTTAGCGCAGGGTCGATTTCATACAGTGCTGGCCATGGCAAGCAGATCAGCAGCCAACTTCCGACAGTAGAAGGCGCGAGGAACTGGAGGCAATCGCTCGAGCTGGAGCAGGATCTTCTCCATGCCTTTCGATGCCTCCTGTGCTGGCAGGAGCTCTCGATTTGCCCAAACGTCTTTGGTGTCGTGTAACGGGGTCAACTCGGGACGTAGCAGAAATGCATTTACGCTTATGCTGGCACGATCACTTCCGCATGGCAGTGCTTCGGTACAATGTGGCCAGAAAGCCGGGATGAAGAGCACATCGCCAGCGTTGAGCACCACTTCGAAACGTCGAGCCCAGGCGGTACTCGCCAACGGAAACTCCTTCCAGAGTTGTTTTTGACCTTCCTTTGCTAACAAGCGGCTGCCCATCGCAGAGGAAGAGCCTGACACATACAAGCGATCAATGTCATCCGGCTGGAACAGGACGACACGCTTTCGCCCGCGTATGCAGCAAAGAAAGTTGTCACAAACGTCATAGTGCAACCACATGCAAAGGCCGGTACTGGCGATTCTCAGAACTGTGGAGTGCACCTGGAATGGCTCCAGAAGCAGCTGTGGGATGGCGAAGTCATCCCCGATTGCACCGATTGCATCCAAAGTGGACGCCTTGTTACGCTTGCTGTGTTGAGACCGATAGTACAGGAAGTTACCCTCCGTCGCCGACTGAACACGCTGCAGAAATCCTTGCAGCGTCAGTATCTCATACTTGAAGTTCTTGCCTGCAAAGTCCAGGAAGCGCGTAGTGGAAACGTGCGCAGACACCTTGTTCTCACCGATGGTCCTTTCCAGGTAGCTGTCCGACCATCTGTCGACGCAACCTCCCAAAGGCACTCCGGTCAGTACCAGCGGACCTTGCAATGAAAGTGTGGTCATCGACTTAGCCCATCTGGTCCAGCTGTCGCGGGGTATACGACGTGCTTCTTCGCGTCTGCGCTTCCACATGAAAACCAAAACCAGACTGCCAGCACCAGCAAGAACCAGCCATCCAGGCCTTTCCATTGTCAGGATGTGGGCTGAAAGTTCAACGTTGCCGCCAGAAGAAGAATCAAGCTTGCATACCCAGATGCTCACAGAACTCTGAAGTCTACACTAAGCACGGACCGAAGGGCCTATCACGATGATCTAGATCCAGCGGTTTAACAAGTTTAATAAGGTTACTGGCAAGCCTGGAAGCAAAGGGGCAGTACCTGTGAGCCATCGGTATGTTCAAGCCTGTGCCTCAAAAAGGCAAGGCAAGCATATCGACAAAACAGGCGCCCGTGCTTAGAGAAAGGCGACAACCCTTCAGAATTGTGCTTTTCGAGTTCTAATCTGAACCCGCAACATCTTGCCCCCACAGCTTAGCCTGGTGATGAAATGGATGACAGGGCATTGGGGGATGATGGGGGTCGTGCTGGACACAGGGCAAAAGTGATCTACAATCAAGCAACTGAGTCGGGAGCATCTTGGCAAGGAGTGCATGCAGCACGTTCAAACGGACCTGGGCCACACTGACCGGTCGCACAACGGTTCTGCGCCTTGTCATCTTCCTGTGCTGAGCCTCCGATGCTCCCGTGCTGAGCTCCGAGCCTCCGCCACCTCCACTTCTTTCCACGGCGCGATGGCTTCAGGCCCTCTCACCCCGAGCTCGCCTGCCATCCGCAGCGAGCCTGCTAGCAGGACGATGTCGGAGGACCGAGCTGCGCGCCTTAACTCGCAGCGCAAGCTCCGCAGCTTGCGAAGTCGCTGCTCGACCGCAGACACGAGCGGGCCGAAATCGGGGTGGGCCCTCAATGCCGGAACGGCCTCCACACTCTGCAGCAGCACCTCCATGGCTTCAATGCAGCTGGAGCTCAGCGCGGACTGCAATCGACTCTGCAAAGACCTGAGCAACTCGAGCTTCTCAGCCGCTTTGATGCTCTCGGGCCAGTGCTCAACTTCCTGTGCTTTCGCTCGCGTCAGGGTGACCAGGAGCTCAAAAATTGAGACGCCCTGGGTTGCCTGCACCAGCTCAGTCAAGAGGTCTTTGTTGTAGCTCCAGCGACCCTCAGTCTCGACAATCTTCTGGAGACCTGCCCGCGCAAGTATGCCGCGGACATGGCCACCTTTCAGCCGCTCCGCCAGCCGCTCTGGTGCCCGGATGCTCTTCTGAGGCTTTGGAGGAGTCGGGATGGATGGGGTGGACGGGGTGCCCAAGTATTTCTGGACATCTCTTGGGGCCAGTGGGGCCAGGTTCCGTATGTTCCGCCCGGGTAGCGGCGGGGCGACAAAGCGACCACCATTCGCATCATTGGGCCGCCGTAGACTTGTCTTGGCCATCGAAGGTCTCCAACTACGACCCGCGTTGTACTTCTTGATGTTTAAGATTGCTTGAGCACTTGGCTTCAAAACCACCTTCGCAAGAACTTTTTCTTGTCAATTTTGGTCAAGATGGTTGCCGTTGAGAAGTGACACCTGTCCGTTGAGATCTCATGAAGCTTACGAGCTGTGAGCCATACAGGACATTGACATGACTCCAGACACGGCCTCAGGTACCATGGTACAGATTATCTTGAACCCCCTGGATGCGATTTCTCAAAGCAACCCCCACATAACCCCAGTCGTGACTTCAAAATCTCTGCAAATGAGCGGTGTGCTGATGGGGAACTTTAAACAAAGAATAGGGCCTGGGGAAAGAATCAAAAGCATGCTATCCAAAGGTGAGCATCTCCGAACCTATCCTATTCTGACTGTGCTCCGGCTCCGAGACCTCTCATCAGACTTCATGCAACAATGAAAACTGTGACAGAATTTCTCGGTGTCTCACACGGAGGCTGATATAGCAGAAAGTCAGCCGACTTTGCGGTGACACAAGCGCGTGAGATCGAATGGCTCAGTCCAGGAAACACACCTCCATCACCGGGCTGCACTGCCCGGAAAGGACTTGGACCTTTGCCAACAGACCGTGAAGCTCATCAAAGATGCGAAGAACACGTGCCACGGTTTGAGCCACCGACACACCTCCCCGTTGCATCCCAGATCCTTGTGGGCCACAGCTACATACAGCTACGGATTATGTTTCCATCTTTTCCGTGCGATTCTAAGTGTCTGTTGCCTGCGACACTTTCCGAGGGGTGCCTTGCAGTACGATCGTCTCCTCCGGAGACCAACTGTTGACCATCCTTACAGCAGGACTGTGTGACTGTCGTGGGATGTCATGAGTCATCTTTGAGATCATTGCAGTCAGAGCGGGCTTGCTTGGAAGAAACTTGGCTCACGACTTTGGAGAATGCCACGGCGTTGACAGACCACCTTGCGACGTCACAAAACTCATCCTGGTCACATCAAGCTTCCAAGCGCTCGCCAGGCCCGAGTCCGCCTGTGTCCCTCAAGAACCCGAATGCAGACTCCTCAGCTGCAAATTCAAAGATTTGAGCCGCTTTGGGCCTCTATTCAAGAAGGTTAACAACTCCTACAACCTTGAGTTGGGCACACTCCCGGCGAAAGCTTACCGAACTAGTCAACACGCACAGCTCACTCTACACCATATCTTGGGCATCCGAGGAGCCAGAGCTTCCATCCCATATCCGTACATGAGCATCCGCTGATCCAGTGGCTACCTGATCTCACAGCGACAGGTTACGACTTTTCTTGTTCTTGGCCAAATTTTCGTTGGATTGGCTTGGGCAGTGGGAACTGGGGTGAGTGGGCAATAATCCATTCACAAAACAATGGCATTTCCAGCGCTTTGCCCATTTGTACTTTTCTACCGTCCAACAAAGCTTGATGCTCCTGGAACAACATGTGCTTTCACAAGCGTACATTCCGGTTGCGAACTTGCTGAACAAGCCGCGCAGTCCCAAGCGTCCATCACAAAAACACCAATGTTTGCAGTATGTCCGTGTTTGTGCATTTCACGTTTCAAGAGTGTTTGACGGTTCAAAGTTTCGAGATGAAGGCGCCATTCGCAAGGGTCCAGCTCCGCAATCTTCTGAGTCCAGGTGCGCCCACCGAACGTGCAAAACAATGTAGTTTTGGGGGTGCTGGAAAAGCAAGTTTTGCCGAATCGCAATGCTTTAGGAACTTTAGGCGATTGTCGCAACAAGGCCGCAAGCAGCTCAGGCATGCTAAAGCAGCGTGGCCAAGTATTCACATTTCCAGGTCCCAACCAGCGTGCCGTCTCTGGAGAAGGCTGCACAAAGAACCTGCGTAAGGCACATCCCAGTGCTTCTTGCAATGCTGCCGCCTACAACTGTCGAGTTCGGCCTCTTCTCTGTGGCCCTTTAGCTCCAGCCGGCACTTGCCATCTTGTGTGTTCCACACTCTTGCCTTGCAGCGTTGAGATGCAACAACTGGTGAGTCAAATTGCTCCGTTTCAACCGAGAATCGATGCCGTCCGCGCCGGCTGTCACAACCTGACTACCAGCGAATGATAGGAAATCTACTGACACAAGTGCTATCCTTGCGTCGCAATGCGGGCTGTCTACAGTAAAGCAGCACAATGCTCAAACAGGAATGCGAGCACCGTGCGGATTAATTTGACAAAGAGCTTGCGAGCTACATGGTGAGATGAACAAATGGACTCAGCGCCAAGCATGACGCCCGTCGCAGGAGAAACTCGCCTGGCCTTCGCTGATGTAAGGCAACGGATACATCTCACTCACGAGACGGCTGCGCGCATGCTCTGCATTGCGCGCTGACAAATGGCACAAGAGTGGTGCAGGAGCGTGGAAATCTTCATCTCAGCTTGGTGCTGACAAGATGCGGATGCAAGCGGTGTGACCGCGCAAAGCATAAACTAAAGAATCTGTCTCTGCCTGCAGAACATCTCAGAACATCATGTCAGGAACTGTCACAAAATGTTGCAGTCACAAGAGTAGCCCAGAATGTCTGAGATTGGGGCTCTTCGAATGAAGGCCTGTATCCATTGATGGCTTTCATGTGGCTTCCATGTCCAGTGACCATCTTGTAGAGTATGAACCATGCTTGGGCATGTACCACATTCCCCTCGCAGCAGATGCGTCTGTGCCCCTCAGGCGTGGAGGATGGGTGCCTGCTGGCATGCCAACTTCGGGGAGACGTCAGATAATTGCTAAGAGTAAAGCTATCGAATCGCGCGGGCACGCTGCCGACCATGCTAGGCAACTGGCAAGCGGGCTACCAGTTTGCGAGCATGTGATGTCATCGCAAGAAGACTGTTGTCTTTGAATTGTTTAAGGCACTGTACAAGCATCATTTAAGTCATCGGCGCATTCAAGAGGAGGCCAGGGTTCGAATCCTCCAGGTCACAGCCACAACTGTTGGAATCCACGCGACCACACCACAAACACTTCTGACGTCTCCTGGGCTTCAAGGGTGGTGGTGCATTCACCTGTTGTGCCGCACCAGACTTTGACCTCGTTCCACGCAACGCGAATGAACTGGGCTAGCTTCTAAACTGGTCCGAAAAAGCAAACAAACGTGGCGCCAATTGTGGGGCTGGTACCACCCGCCATCCTGCAGTCGCAACTTGACCAGGCCGGCAGCGGATAAATTCCACGGCCTGTGAACTGACCCGAACAAGACTCAAGCCATGCAGTCTGCAAGAGACCAAGAGTCTGGCCGGCACGGCACCACATGCAGCCTTCGTGTGACTGCGAGCCCACTCTGAGCCCCTCGACTGCACATGTTTAGCATGTTAAGCATTGCGAAGTCCCAGCAGGTGCAGCCTCCAAGAGTCCAGTTGGTGCAAGTCTGAGAGTGTCCTGTCAGGGATCACGACCCGGGGAAAAGTCTTGAAAACCGTTCTCTCTTCCGCGCCTCCAAGAGCTGGCCTCCGTCAATAGCCCGATAGCGTGCCAAATGGGCTGCCTGCGTTCAAAGAAGGCGAGGTGCCCCTGCAAACACAACCTGGCACAAAAATCAGCCTCTTGGCGCCCTGGTGCAACTCCTGCAGCTTCTGCACTCGAGGACACAGCCTGCGCTGAAGCTCTGCAGCTGTTTCTTGATAGGACGCATTTGACAGCGGCGGGCCTTTGAAACCGCCTCGCAGAGCTCTCCAACCTTCTGATGTTGCAAACAAGCACACCTATTGTCCACTGCTGTCCTCATCAACAGTGCCCTAAGAGCATGACTGTGGCATTTGGACAGATCTGAAGCAACGCTAGTCTTTTGCCTGTTGAAGCCATGTAGGCCTGAGAAATGTCTGTCAAAGGTACCCTTGCATACCGAAGGCCCTTCCAATGCAGAAATGGAACCAGACTCATGCGAAACCAGGCCTCCAGAAAGATATCCTTAGCTTGAGACGATGCCCATGCACAAGCTGTTACACAACTGAAGCCAGTTGTTGCAGAAGTCGATGGGGACAACAACTGAACACACTCACATCTCCGCAAGCAAGCAGCCACGCCATCCATGCTTCGAATGAGTGCGAACACCGGACATCGCTGCTCGAAACGTCTATGCACAGCCGCGTGCACATGAGCTGACTGAAGATGGTGGCCTACCTGCTCTGGATAAAAACCATGGCTGGACTGCTTCCGTGTTGAAGTACTCACATGAGAGAGAGCGGTCCTTCATACTTGCCTTGAACTGGAATGCGATGAGCAAATACAAGCAACCAGCGGCGCAAGCAGCAGGTTCACAAGAAACTCTTCTCAGAGATCACCGTCTTTTCTTTTTCTATTCCTCCTTTTCCCTCAAAGCACACTGCTGCACTGCAGCAGCATGTCCAACAGATTTAAAGACACAAAAAGCGCTAGACTCAACATCCAAGTACCCAGAAGTTCAACCGAACCAAACCTTCTCTGACCATCCTGACTGCCGAACGCGCTCTCTGTCCTGTCTCCCGTCACGTCTGCATCGACCACCATGTTGTCTCTCTCTCTTTTGTGTGAGACGTTGTGAAACTCCGTGGCTGGCAAGGCACACATGCCGTGCCAAAGCACAGTTCAAACTCCAAAGGTGCTCAGGTGCTCTTTTGTAAATACTGCACGTTTCCCTGTGCATGTATAAAGTTTCGTTGTTGATGACTGCACACATCTGACCACTGACGTGTGAGAACATTAGAAGCATCATTGAAAAATCGACATATCAGTGATGGTTTCAACGTGTAACTTACGCCACGGCGCAAGTCCTGCCAACGAAATGGAAGGCATCCGCCAAATTTCCAGGGCGACCTCGGATGGAACATCGTAGTGAACGGCAACAACAAACTCAGCTGCCGCAGAAATTGAGCTTCGCGCAGATCTGCTTTCGATCGAGAGCTCTGCCTCAAATCTTACAGCCTTCTTGCCGTGACCAACTCCACCATGAGCATTGGTAGCTTCTGTGTTGACATCCTCTAAAACCGTGGCGTTCTGGAGCACAAAGGCAGATGGTGGAATGTGGGTTATCGGCAGCACCATAGCACCAGAAAGCAGCCTTTGCACAAACACGGTGAAAGCAGAATCAGCCAAAAGGTCTGACCCGCGCGTGCCAGCTGACAAATGCAGGGTGTCATCCAAAGTCACCTTGAACTTCCATGTTGGCGTCTGGTCCAGTATCTGCGCATGCCATGTGGGCAGAAAAGCTAACAGGAATGGTACTCGCCACGCCATGGCACCACCGGGGGGGCGTTTCAGACTTTCTGATCCAAGTCATAGTAGTCACTGGTCTAGGTCCCTGAGTCTTGCTGCCGCATTGCGATGTTGAACTAAACGGCACATGTTCCACCGGCCGCTTGTCCAGCACAGTGCATGCTGGCAAAAACAGCAGCGCGTGTGAAAGCTCCAATACCCAAAAAAACAATGGAATGGGAACCACGCCTGCCTGAAAGGGACTTGCTCCGATCTGTGGGACTTGGCATAAAGAATTGGGAAACCCCGAATGCATAAGCCGCACAACTCCCTGGAGTTCTATGGAATCAAGTGGTTGATGTTTAGTGGTTGCTTGAGCGTTCGAGCCTTCAGAGCATAAGGGTCTATGGGCTCCAGGGCGCATAGAGTTTATGGTTGCAAGCTGGAAACTACAGGAGTGCAATCATCAGTCCACAGGATTGTAGCGCCGGGAAAACAGGAAGATTTTCAACCAATATTGCATTTGCGATAAGTATCTGCTGAATTCACCACAATTCTTGAAAAGCTTTTCCGGCTCTTGATCGGCAAGCGGTACTGCGACACGCCCTGCCAAAGTCAGCTTGCTGACAGGCAGGGATTGCAACCCTCACCAAGAGCCTAAAGGCTACGAATCCCCAGTCCTAGTATCGGCAGCACTTTTTTTTAACCCCTGGACAATTCCGAACCATGGTCGAAAACTCGAGACCCTGGCTCGACTGCGCAAACTGCTAACCTTCAGTTTGCCCTAAACCATCCCAAACCTACACCCTAAACCCGAAGTTCTAGAGCTTCAACCTGAGACCTCAGGGCTGCGAAAGCTTCACCTTCTTCCGGGAAGAAGACGCCACCGTGTAGGATCCGTCAAGGCCACCACCTTGACGCTTTTGAGAGAAACTCAAGAACAAGGATCAAGCCGGGGAACCAAAAAAACGAGGCAAACAGCAAGCCAGAGCAGGTCCGGAGGGACATCGCGAGCGTCTTTAGCACGAAGATTATGTAGCCGCCTTGCCGAATTTGGCGAGCTCGCTTCGGAACTCCACCCTGCATGGTCCCCCCCCCCCACCCCTTCCCGCACCCTGGGAACGGCGCCCGCCGCCAAAGCTCGTGCCCCGCATGGTCCCCGTCCACCATCCCGTATACCGTCCCTCATATCGTCCCGCTTGTCCCGGCCCTGGCGGTGCGGTTCTCTGAACTTCTCAGTCAAGGAGGCTCAGGCTTGCCAGCGAGACCTGCGTGCACAGCAAAGAATCTTTTTGTGGTCGCAATTTAGGGCTCCATGAGGGCAACTTGTAACTATTGTGGCAACGCAACAGTGGTTTAGGGTTTAGGGTTTAGGGTTGAGGGTTGAGGGTTGAGGGTTGAGGGTTGAGGGTTGAGGGTTTAGGGTTTAGGGGGGGCTTGGGGCTTGGGGTCTACAACACCTCCAACCACAAAAATCTCGGGACCTGCCTTCTGCTCCGAGGCGTGACTCTCAGGTTCCGCGGGCTCGCGCTCGCGCGGCTCGCGCTCGCGCGGCTCGCGCTGCGCGGCGCTTCCTTGGCAAGCAAGAGCTAAAAGGACTCTGGCGGTTCAAGAGTTATATTCGAGTCATTTGAGTCTTGGGGTGTCCTGCGGGTTGACGCGATTCGGTATGCACGTTTTCTTCTCGAACTTATGGGCTCTAGATTTGGGGAATTAGAGAATTGGGGTCTGAGGATGATTCTTGCTACAACATTTTCGAAACCGTTTGTGAAGCCTTCCAAGGCATGTTGCTCCAACACCGCTTGCGTGGTGCGAACAAGCCGAGTTTTTTGAGCTAAGGGGGCACGCGAGGCAGGTGTCCAGAGCCCGGGAGACGGCAGTTTGGAGGTTTCGGGACCTGAAACTGCTGAATCGCGGCTGGTTTCGCCTTAAAAGAACAAAGGCTAAAACCTCCGATTAGGGTCTAGGCGGGGTTTCAGGGCATCGGCTCCAAGAAGATGTCATGACATTTGGCCTGCAGACCAAAGAGCTTCGAGGGATTTCGGGTGCCGAAAACAAGGCCTCGGAATCCAACCAGGTGCAACACTAAACAGACTAAACATTGCTCCTAACTTGCGCTACAACCTTCAGCTCCCCAAGATCCCAAAGGTCGTTGCGGAGACCTCCCAGATTCACTAGATTTCAATAGGGTCTGGGTCTGGTTCTGACGACTTTCCCTTCGCCTGCCAGGAAGCCCGCCGGCGCTGGCTGCTCTTGCAAGCTGCCTGAGTTGTTGTTGAGCTTTTGTTCCAATCTAGATGTCGACATCTCCCACTGCTGGAAAGCACATTGCTCGAACCGAGCTGAGAGGGCTGCTTTGGTCGACTTGTGCCAACGTGCTCGCAAAGCCGAGGCACGATTTGGATTCATTCAACGACTTGATAAAAACCCTCAGCCCTGAACCGGACATCAAACCCTGAAGTGCCTAGGGCCCTCCAGCTCAAGCATGACTAAGCCATCGCCGATCTGCAGTCTTCGTCGGCTTCTTCGGCATCCCCTCTGCGCACGCTTTCCAACACCTTGCATGTCCAAGAAGATACCCCTGGATGCAAATGTGCCTCTGCATAAACAGACGCTCATGATTACAAGCAGTTGCCCTCTGCCACGGAATTCTGGCGATTGCGGTGCCTATACACCGGACAGAAGCCTAGTCTAGCAACAAAACGCGAAGAGCCGGCTTGCCCGCCTGCTTGAGTAGCTGCAGCTGCACGTCGCGGCTTGAGTACGCAAGATTCCTGGGTCTGGGCCTAGTGCCTATGCAGGAGTTCAGCTCAGGCAAACTGAAATGCAAACAGTAACGCTCGAAGCGGCAGGAGCGACAACATGCGAAGAAGACTACTCAGTGATCGCAACCAGCCGGCATCAGAGATCGTCGTGATCTCCAAAAACTGCAAGCATCAGCACTGTAACCTGCAAGGCCTCGGCAAGGCCTCCAAAATGGAAGCTTTTTACCGAACCCTCCAACTCCCATGCATGGTCCTGCACTGAGAGATGCAAGCAAGGCTCTGCTCCTCCAATCGGGCAACGTTGTGGTCACGAACGACCTGCGGAAGGCAGCACAAAGTGACACCAAGTGCTCTGCAAAATTTCGTGGGAGGCAAATTTCTCGGACAGACCTTGCGGCTGAGGGGCGAATCATCCGAGACAGCCGAACAAGAAGGTGCTGTTGATTTGCGCGGGGTCTATCATCTACAATCGGACGACCAATACCAGCTCGAAAACAAGGTGAGAAAACCGAGACGAAGGACTCAGCCCAAGCAGATCCACACCGAGGCAGCAAGAAGACCCCTAGCTTTAAACTCAAGCCAGCTCGATGTGCAAAAGTTGTCCGTCTGCATTCGGAACTTTCTGAGCACAGTAGGATCGAATCGAATGGCTCGACCCCGCCAATCTCCGGCTATCGGGGTCTTGGGCTCTGCTATCCAGCACAGGCGGGGCAAAGGCAGAAGCCTTGCTCGAGACATGGGCTGCTCCTGATGCTCATGATGCTCATGACGCTCATGATGCATCTCCTGAGCTTCATGAGCATCAGCTGCTGAGGGCAAGCGGGGCGGATGCTCATGCTGCTCTCTCGGCGCTGTGCACCAAGCATCTTGGAAGGTGCACGGGTGCCTAAATCCCATCCAACTCCAACCCCGCAACCTTCGACAACCCTTTCCCGCCTGGTAGTTGTATCCCTGCTCGACAAGAAATTGTTGTCGACGATTGGCATGATACAGCTCTTGAGTGTCTCGGGAGACGACGGAGTAGAAATAGGCCTGGCGGGATCGGCAGGCGGCAGATGGCAGCAACAAATTTCGCTCGAAGGTGTGTGTTGCGCCGTTTGAGGCGCGGCGCCCCGAAGTAAGCGAACTCCCGCCACAGCATTGGGAGATTGTTCAATCACAACTCCCCACACAATCCTCAAGCCTTTCTGACATTGGCGCTGACGGAACATGCGCCTTGAGACCTAGCATTCCTCAAAAGCTAGCAGCTCTGTCGCACAGTCCTCCTGATCCTCCTCCCCCAACTGAGAACCGGGAAAATCGAGCTGGAGATATCAGAGACGCTCAAGCCGGAACAACATCTCAATCTCAAGCATCCTTTAGCCTCCCTAAGAGCCCTTGCTTCTTCGCCCCCTGCTGGCATTGAATCGGCCGCCGGAGCTGGAAGTCTGCGGCTTGGGGCGCAGAATTCGGCCCAAGCGCTGGGCCTCCTGCCTGCCACGGACGAGCGATACGGCAACTGCCCGTGCTCACTGGACCCCGCTACTTCCAGGAGCTGCAGCTGGGGCTTACGGATTTTGGGACTTTGGGGATTCTTGGGTTCGAGAGCTCGAGGAAGTTTCAGGTCTTTCGGATTTAAGGTTTCGGTTTCTGGGTCTTGTGGCTTGAGGTCTCGGGCTTGGGGCCTCAGATGGGCAGAGCTTAACAAGCACACAAACATCCACTGAACGTCCACTCAAGCCCGATTCGGACTCAAACCTCTCGGGGGGCAATGACGATTTTGATAAGTGCGGCACCTTCTCGACCCATAGTGAGAGGAAATCTGTACGATGACGTTCGCCTCAAGCACTGGCGTTTTCCAAACCAACTGATGCAATTCAAATTTCCTCAAACGGAAACGGCAGGCAGAAGCCGATACAGGTTCCACTGTTATCCTGTGCTTGCGCATCATGTGCCGTCAAGATGCTACTGGCAAGTCGATGGCATTGTCGCCGACCTGCCGTCTGTTTGCCACATGACCTCGTTCAAAAGCATCCTAAGCCAATGAATCCATTCACCGATAAGAAGGCCAATGACCCAGCAAGCCCTTTGCCGATAGCTCATGCAAATGACCCATGAACCCGTAGTCAACCAACCCACTGACCCACTGACCCACTGACCCACTGACCCATTAACCCATCACCCCATCAACCCATCAACTCATCAACTGGGTAAGAAGAAGTCAACACATGTAGGATGCTGAAATGCGCCCCCGCTTCGCGTTCTCGACCCCGCTCGCCAATAATTGGTACCCTCCAAACCCTGACCACTGACCCTGAAACCACCACGGACCCCAAACCTAAACCTTCAAAGCTAAACCCTGAACCCTAAGCCCTACAACCCAGGCGGAGCAAAGGGAAACCCAAAACCTTAACCTGAACCCTAAACCCGGAATCCTAGAACCTACACCTCAACCCGAAACAACCGAAACCCTAAACTCCAAACCCGCCATGAACATATGGAAGGGGGGTGTTGGTGGGGGCGTTGGGGGTTGGTGGGTGGGGCTAACAAACGCCTCACAGTCATGAAATCTGCTCACTTCTTTTGTTGTCCGACTCCAATGAGCACAACAATCATCAGGCCCAGTGGTCGGTCTTATGACAGCTCGGTTACAGCTGCTTAGATAAAGAGGAGTGTACGTTCAGTCAAAGAACATCCCCGAAACCATGAATTAGACTCGCGCCCTCCCCGCATGGTGCCTTGGACAGAAAGATGGTGTTGCAAGCCGAGCTTTCCTGGAATTCACTGAGGATCTGCCTTGGCTTTTCACATTCGATGGAAGATGCCTGCTACCAGCACTGACTTGAGGAGCATCGACTGCTGTCCATTGTCAATTGTGGAGACCCATCGATCGTGAGGTGCCCAGCTTGAGCCATTTGTAAACTGCTTGGTGGGGGGGTGACTGGCACCTCACTGAAACCTGAAAACTCCTCCAATGCAGGGCAAGTCACAGCCGCTCGCGCATGTCCACCTGGAGCTTCAAGGCGGGCTCTAAAATTTCAAAGGGGTTCAAAACATCCCGCACTGTGTCGCATCTTCTGTTGTGGACTTTCGTGCTAGCACAAAAAGCAGCACTCGTTGAGACTTTTCAGCTTCAGTCCCGAGCCGCAAAGCACAGAACTGGAGTTGATCCTGAAATGCGTCTAGGAACCTGCGAAACATAGGAAAAGTAGACGCATCTGAAGCTACATTGCATACACTCATGCGTCCAAACTGCTGAGCCACAGATGTAGTACCTTCCCAGCCGTCGGGCGAAGTCCTTCCTCTTGGCATGATGATCGCTGAACCCATAAACGTCTGTAAGGCCATGCACCATTATTTGTGCCACAATTTGAACTCAAGTGACAAGATGAAGATGTTGTCGCTGAACACAATGATCTTGTCTCCACGCTGTTCGTGGAAACGAATCAGGTACCTTGCAGCAGAACGCGAAACCCAGGCAAAACCCAGGCAAAAAACAACACACTGGCGCCCATTAAAAACAAACAAAAAACTGAGTTCTTGGCTCACACGTCTTCAGCTTGTTGGGGTTGCAAGTCCAGAGGGCCCTTTGCAGCGTCGCACGGAGGGAGCCTGTGCCGATACTGAGTCGTTCCAATCACCACGTGCCCCGGCATTCTGCAATCGGCCGCCCAGTGTCAAAACAAGAACCAGCAAGGCTGTCGTGCATCAGTGGATGTTGTGAGCTTTTGGAACAAATACTCCCCGGGATTATGAACTACGAAGTAGGACACATGGCAATTGAAGCAGTTGACAAGAAGCTCAAAACTGAGCAGATGTGGTGCCTGGCACTTCTGGACTGTCCGCAGCCTGCAAGTACCTTTTCTAACGAGGCGGCTCAACGAAGACAGCGGTTGAACAGAAGCATCCAAGCTTCTTGCGAGAAAAAAACATTGATTTTATGAGCTCCGAATTGCACATGGTTTGGCCTGGCTGGGGAAACCCAGCTAGACTTCTAGTGACAAAAGACAGCCCAGCCAAAACACTCCTAGATAGGGTAAGACAGGGCGAAGGACCGCTCGCAAACCCGCTTTGGATGCATACGAGCAAACAGCGTTTGCCGACAAAAGTCAGCAGGCTAACAGCTTTTTTACAGCTTGTTCACGAGCTCGCAACCTTTCGCGACCCCAACCCATCCGAGGCCCCAGGTACCGGCAGGCCTACCCACAGGCCTACGGGTAGGCTACCGGCAGGCCGCAGGGCTTTCGGTGGGCTACCGGCAGGCTTACCCACAGGCCTACGGGTAGGCTGACTACGGATTTACTACCAGTACTAGTCCTAGTACTACTACTACTACTACTACTACTACTACTACTACTACTACTACTACTACTACTACTACTACTACTACTACTACTACTACTACTACTACTACTACCTACCTCCTACTACTACTACTACTACTACTACTACTACTACTACTACTACTACTACTACTACTACTACTACTACTACTACTACTACTACTACTACTACTACTACTACTACTACTACTACTACTACTACTACTACTACTACTACTACTACTACTACTACTACTACTACTACTACTACTACTACTACTACTACTACTACTACTACTACTACTACTACTACTACTACTACTACTACTACTACTACTACTACTACTACTACTACTACTACTACTACTACTACTACTACTACTACTACTACTACTACTACTACTACTACTACTACTACTACTACTACTACTACTACGACTACGACTACGACGACGGGTAGGCCTACCGGCAGCCTACCCACAGGCCTGCGGGCAGGCCTGCCGGTACTTATAGGCCTACGGGTAGGCCTACCGGTAGCCTACCCGTAGGCCTACGGGTAGGCCTACCGGTAGCCTACCCATAGGCCTGTGGGTAGGCCTGCCGGTAGCCTACCCGTAGGCCTACGGATAGGCCTGCCGGCAGCCTACCCGTAGGCCTCCGGGTATACGGGTAGGCTACCCGTGGCCCTCTGATAGGCCTGGTAGGCCACACGAGGGCCTACGCACAGACCTACGCGTAGGCTGCCGTAGGCTCTACCGACAGGCCTACGCGTAGCCAGCCGTAGGCCTGTACACAGGCTACCCGTAGGCCTAGGGTAGACCTACCCATAGGTCCGACGTAGCCTCAGTTTCGGGCTTCTGTATGCAAAAAGAATCGAGTCGGCCTTCTGGTGCAGCTGAGCACACCGACCTAGCCGACCGATCGTCGCACCTCTGAAGGCGGCTGGTCGACCGATCTACGGCACCCCATCAGGGCCCTCTGCGACCTGCACTGGTGCCTCGAGTTGAAGAGTGGAGATGCAGCTGACCGGGAGCCAAGTCCCAGGAACTGAGTTCCCCAACAGCTCGGACACTACAGCCAGGGATGGCCAGTTCGGGACAGGCTCAGAGCCCGGCTGGTCAGCGTGACAACCGTCGCGTGACAACCGTCGCGTGCAGCTGGTGCTGGCTATGGTTGCCAGTGGAGCCAACAGTATCAAGGAGGCCGCAACAGCACCAATCCGCTCGAGATGGGAGGCGTGACTTTGTGGTCGATTCGAATGGAACAGCATGACTATCCTCGAGATCGTTTGAAATTCAAAACTGACTCGTCGAGAAAATCATAAACATAGAGCTGCCAATTCGATCAATGTGCTCAGCTCGTGGGGAGCACGAGCCCGCGGAGGATCATCACGGTCGCCAACAAGTCAACACAGGCAAGGCATGTACCACACCGACAGTGGGACAAAGAGCTACAGTGCAACTTACACTCCTCAACCAGACCAAGCTAGAACCGGATAGATCGGCTAGGGCAGGGTGCTGGGCCCAAGCGAATCCAGACTTCAGTTCTGAAGGCGGACTTCGTGACTCCTTGATCTCTGACTCTAACCCAGGCAACTCCCCAATTGGGGTCTGGATGAAGCCACAACATAGCAAACATAGAGCCCAGCGGGCGAGCATCATCAGCATCCAGCCGCCCAGGCTCTTTGGGACGCGAAGCCCAGCAGGCGAGAATCATGAGCATTAGCTGCCCACACCGTTTGGGACGTATCCCAGCAGGCGAGCATCATGAGCATCAGCCGCTTAGGCTTAGGCCCTTGCCACGTAAAGCCCAGCAGGTGAGCATCATGAGCATCAGCCGCACAGGTCGAGCCCAGCAGGCGAGCATCATGAGCATCAGCCGCTTAGTCCCTTGGCACGTGAAGCCCAGCAGGCGAGCATCATGAGCATCAGCCGCCCAGGCCCTTTGGCACGTAAAGCCCAGAGCCCAGGGGGCGAGCATCATCAGCATCAGCCGCCCAGGCTCTTTGGGACGCAAAGCCCAGCAGGCGAGAATCATGAGCATCAGCTGCCCACGCCGTTTGGGATGTTTGGCTCTTTGGCACGGGCGATCAGCCGCTTAGGCGCTTGCCACGGAAAGCCCAGCAGGTGAGCATCATGAGTATCATGAATCAACATCATGAGCATCAGCCGCTTAGGCCCTTGGCATGTAAAGTCGTAAAGCCCAGCAGGCGAGCATCATGAGCATCAGCCGCCCAGGCCCTTTGCCCTTTGGCACGTAAAGCCCAGAGCCAAGGGGGCAGGCTCTTTGGGACGCAAAGCCCAGAAAGCGAGAATCATGAGCATCAGCTGCCCACGCCGTTTGGGATGTATGGCTCTTTGGCGCGCAAAGGCAAGCACCAGGCGAGCATCATGAGCATCAGCCGCTTAGGCCCTTGCCACGTAAAGCCCAGCAGGCGAGCATCATGAGCATCAGCTGCCCTGGCCTTTGGCACTTAGAGCCCAGCAGGCGAGCATGTAAAAGTCGCAAAGCCCAGCAGGCGAGCATCATGAGCATCAGCTGCCTTGGCCCTTGGCACTTGGAGCCCAGCAGGCGAGCATGTAAAAGTCGTAAAGCCCAGCAGGCGAGCATCATGAGCATCAGCTGCCCTGGCCCTTGGCACTTAGAGCCCAGCAAAAGTCGTAAAGCCCAGCAGGCGAGCATCATGAGCATCAGCCGCCCAGGCCCTTTGCCCTTTGGCACGTAAAGCCCAGAGCCCAGGGGGCGAGCATCATCAGCATCAGCCGCCCAGGTTCTTTGGGACGTAAAACCCAGCAGGCGAGAATCATGAGCATCAGCTGCCCAAGCCGTTTGGGATGTATGGCTCTTTGGCACGCAAAGCCCAGCAGGCAAGCACCAGGCGCGCATGATCAGCATCAGCCGCTTAGGCCCTTGCCACATAAAGCCCAGCAGGCAAGCATCATGAGCATCAGTTGCCCAGGCTCTTGGCACTTAGAGCCCGGCAGGCGAGCATCATGAGCATCAGCCGCTTGGGCAGCAGGCGAGCATCATGAGCATCAGCCGCCGGGGCCCCTTGCCCTTTGGCACGTAGCTCAGAGCCAAGGGGGGCGAGCATCATCAGCATCAGCCGCCCGGGTTCTTTGGGACGCAAAGCCCAGCAGGCGAGAATCATGAGCATGAGCTGCCCACGCCGTTTGGGATGTATGTCTCTTTGGCACGTAAAGCCCAACAGGCAAGCACCAGGCGAGCATCATTCATGAACATCAGCCGCCCAGGCTCTTTGGGACGCAAAGCCAGCAGGCCAGCATCATGAGCATCAGCTGCCCAGGCCCTTGGCACTTAGAGCCCAGCAGGCGAGCATCATGAGCATCAGCCGCCCAGGCCCTTTGCCCTTCGGCACGTAAAGCCCATCAGGCTTGGCACAGAGAGCCCAAATCCAGCCACTCTTGCCACGCTGCTCAATGAAGAACTCAGTGGACATGTCGCACCAAACTTCGATGCAACGGACGCGGGCCAAGTAGCCCTCGTCCTGGCAATACAATACAAACTTCTTGAAGCTCACGGTTGGAGATGGCAACCCGAAGATGGAGGAAATGCACCAGGCTACGAACTGAAGAAGCACAGAACACAGTAGGCAGTTCTCTCATGCTCCAGTGGCTCGCGCATGGAACCGCATAAGCTCGAGACGCAACCCCAATATCCCTCAACTCCCTCCCTACAGAACCCTTCTGACGCGTCTCGCACCTGCAGCTGCTGCCAGTTGGCCTCGTAGAGCTTCGGGCCAATGAGCCTGCAGCGTGACACTCAAGTGCGACGGCCGGTTTCGCCTCCAATCTGTTGTGCTGCTGCTGCTGCTTCTTGCCAGCTGGAAGTCACGACTCAAACCCCACAGACGACAATACTTCAAAGCTCGCCGACTGTTGGAATACTACACACTTTTTATCATGTCAGGCAGGTGTTTTCAATGTGGATATGGTATCCGGACGCCATACTACTGTACCTCGACACGAAGTCCCTTAACAAAACAATTCAGCAGGGCACCAATGCAAATCTTGGATCAGGTCATCTTCCCGGACCAAAGTGGCCTTTCGGGCTGCAGGCTTTGGGGTGTCCGACTTGGGGTTTGAGGCTGAGAGCTTTAAAGAGTTGAAAAGCGTTTCCAAGAGTTTCAGAGCTCTAAGGAGCAGCACCCCAGAGATTGTGAACAAAGTTGTTACCTTGCGGCTAAGGAGCTGTTAACCCCAGGCAACAATGCGATTTGATCATGGTGGCGACGGTTCCTTGGACTGTCCCAGTCCCTCCATGCTTAGAATTCAATCCGGAATTCCGTCTAGAACGAAACAGTTTGGAGCCTTAAACGGTTTCCGCTGAGCAAGCCTTGGAAAGGGCCTCTGACCTCCCATGTTTTGCAGCGCAACCTGCATTGGTTGGGCACGAACGGATTGATTCACCAAATACGCATGGTCTTGTTGTCTCGATGTACAACTTCCGCCACAGAGACGAAGGTGCTAATTGCAGGATCGCCATGACCAGACCCGTCCCCCGGCATGCCCCGTGAAACCACTACTGGACGCTGGGTGCATGCACTCCCCACCATCCTACATCTCCTAAGCTTGGGGGGGATACTTGAAACCTTGTCGTCCAATTCGTAACCCGTATAATGCCACTACTCCCGCCACTGAAGTGCATCCCAGGGTTCAACCACCACATCCTGCATCACATCCTACAAGACCCGCCACTTTGGCGAACCCCTACGGGTGCTGCGGCAGCTGAGCGTCTGAAGGTACGTGCCGGCATCACTTGCACCTCATCCACCACCAGCAGGCCCCACTCGAGCTGCTGCAACTGATCCAGGATGAACCTCACCACAGGGGCCGCCAATAGTGTCCGTCGGTTTGCGGTTTGAGATTTGGGGGCTCTCACACAATAATCTTGACACCAGGCGCTTAAACCCAGCTTGGGCAAAGCTTTGTCAGGTGTGAATTGGAAGCCCACAAATGCCCACACCAATGGAAAGTTGCTGGAAGGCCTTGCCGAAGTCTCCTTTTTCAAGCTGCACACAAAGGCTAACTTGGGACACGTGGCTGAGTGTCTCCTCCTCTCCGTCCAGTGTATCCGAGCATGCTGTACCTTGGGCAACTTTGATTTGCGCTAGCCTCTGTAGCTTCTTGGCCTTGGATACCAGCATGTCAAAATGTGCTCTCAGCAGCAGCCGAGGTACGTGGATATGACGATACAAGCACGGCGCTGAGCATCCTCTATGGGCCGCTTGTGCTCTGCCGTGAGTGCGTAGACGTCTTCCGGCGGCAAGCTAGTAAAGAGCCTCGCTTTGTAAAGGTTCAGAAACAAACAGCTCTACGCTACCAAACATGCTAAGTCACAACAAAAACTAGGGCTGGCCCGCACAAGGAACTGGATCTGGCGCCGCCACTGGTCCACTGCAACGGCCGTGGTGGTGAGCACAAGTGCCCGTCGCCCTACACGGCAACAGGCTGCGATTCCAACCAGCGTCTTCCCAGCACCGCAAGGAAGCACAACGATGCCACTCTTAGCAACGCCATCCGCCGAAAACCTGTTTTGGCTCTTCTTCGGACATAGACCAAGGATACACTCCAACCTGCATCCTAAACCATACAATAAAGAAACGATCATGCACTGGTAAACATGCACTCTGAAAAAGGGCCCCAGACACATCTTGGACAGCGCTCGCTGCTGATACGGGCGAAGATTGACCGTAGGTCTGAGGACCGCAGTGAGCTGGGGATTTGTGTCTTCCCGGTCCCGTCGAAACTCATACTCTTGCAAAAGAGGGAAAGACATCTGGTGAGCTGCCAACTTCAACTTCTCCACCTTGAGGGAGTCGACTTCCACGATGCGGCTCTCAGGAGCCAATTCCTGCGAAGCCGGTGGTAATGGTAGTAGTGGTAGTAGTGGTAGTAGTGGTAGTAGTGGTAGTAGTGGTAGTAGTGGTAGTAGTGGTAGTAGTGGTAGTAGAGGTAGTAGTGGTAGTAGTGGTAGTAGCGGTAGTAGTGGTAGTAGTGGTAGTAGTGGTAGTAGTGGTAGTAGTGGTAGTAGTGGTAGTAGTGGTAGTAGTGGTAGTAGTGGTAGTAGTGGTAGTAGTGGCAGTAGTGGTAGTAGTGGTAGTAGTGGTAGTAGTGGTAGTAGTGGTAGTAGTGGCAGTAGTGGTAGTAGTGGTAGTAGTGGTCGTAGTGGTAGTAGTGGTAGTAGTGGTAGTAGTGGCAGTAGTGGTAGGAGTGGTAGTAGTGGTAGTAGTGGTAGTAGTGGTAGTAGTGGGAGTAATGGGAGTAGTGGGAGTAGTGGGAGTAGTCGTAGTGGTGGTAGTAGTAGTAGTAGTAGAAGTAGTAATGGTAGCAGTGGTAGTCGTGGTAGTAGTGGTAGTAGTGGTAGTAGTGGTAGTAGTGGTAGTAGTGGTAGTAGTGGTAGTAGTGGTAGTAGTGGTAGTAGTGGTAGTAGTGGTAGTAGTGGTAGTAGTGGTAGTAGTGGTAGTAGTGGTAGTAGTGGTAGAAGTGGTAGAAGTGGTAGTAGCGGTAAAGGTGGTAGTAGTGGTAGTAGTGGTAGTAGTGGCAGTAGTGGTAGGAGTGGTAGTAGTGGTAGTAGTGGTAGTAGTGGTAGTAGTGGGAGTAGTGGGAGTAGTGGGAGTAGTGGGAGTAGTCGTAGTGGTGGTAGTAGTAGTAGTAGTAGTAGTAATGGTAGCAGTGGTAGTAGTGGTAGTAGTGGTAGTAGTGGTAGTAGTGGTAGTAGTGCGCGGTAGTAGTGGTAGTAGTGGTAGTAGAGGTAGTAGTGGTAGTAGTGGTAGTAGTGCAGTAGCAGCAGCAGCAGCAGCAGCAGGAGCAGTAGCAGAAGCAGCAGCAGTAAGTAGCAGTAGTAGAAGTAGAGAGTAGTAGTAGTAGTAGTAGTAGTAGTAGTAGTAGTAGTAGTAGTAGTAGTAGTAGTAGTAGGAGTAGTAGTAGTAGGAGTAGTAGCAGTAGCAGTAGCAGTAGCAGTAGCAGTGGCAGTAGCAGTAGAGCAGTAGTAGTAGTAGCAGTAGTAGTAGTAGTGGTGGTAGTAGTAGTAGGAGTGGTAGTAGTGGAAGTTGTGGAAATGGTGGAAGTTGTGGCGGTAGTGGTAGTGGTAGTGGTAGTGGTAATGGTAGTGGTAGTGGCAGTGGCAGTGGTAGTGGTAGTGGTAGTGGTAGTGGTAGTGGTAGTGGTAGTGGTAGTGGTAATGGTAGCGGTAGTGGTAGTGGTAGTGGTAGTCGTTGTAGTAGTTGTTGTCGTAGCAGTAGTAGTAGTAAGAGTAGTAGTAGCAATAGTAGTAGTAGTAGTAGTACTAGTATTAGCAGTAGCAGTAGTAGTAATAGTAGTAGTAGTTTTTTTTTCAATGCGCAAGCCGCGGGTCGGCGGCCGTCAGCACCGACGCTTTTCAGAGTAGTACGTAGGAAAGCGAAAGAAAGAACTCTAAACAAACAGCTCTGAATGGAAATTATGGCTTATGTATGAGTACGTGCCATCGGTCCCTTTGTTGTGACAAGGGGAGAAGGGTGCGATATAGTATAGTAGTAGCAGTAATAGTAGTAGTAGTAGTAGTAGTAGTAGTAGTAGTAGTAGTAGTAGTAGTAGTAGTAGTAGTAGTAGTAGTAGTAGTAGTAGTGGTAGTAGTGGTAGTTAAGTAGTAGTTAAGTAGTAGTTAAGTAGTAGTTAAGTAGTAGTTAAGTAGTAGTTAAGTAGCAGTAAAGTAGTAGTTAAGTAGTAGTTAAGTTGTAGTTAAGCAGAAGTTAAGTAGTAGTTAAGTAGTAGTTAAGTAGTAGTTAAGCAGCAGTAGTACTAGTAGTAGTAGTAGTAGTAGTAGTAGTAGTAGTAGTACTAGTAGTAGTAGTAGTAGTAGTAGTAGTAGTAGTAGTAGTAGTAGTAGTATGTGAAGTCGACCAGCACTGGACTTGCACTAAGCCAATGCAATCACAGCCCGGTCACGCTGTTTTACGACTTCGCGAGTTCAAGCACTTGTGCAGCTACGCCTGAGTGCGTCCGGTCGGACCGCACAGCAACCTAAGAGCTACTGTACGACTCTACCGTGCTCAAAGGCACAAGCTCAGTACTTGAGCCAAAATATTGGCATTGTTACGAATTGCAAAACTACACATGCAAAGAAAACTACAGTACTGGTTCTGGCAGCTCTGCACATGCAGCGTGCGTGCTTAGACCTGCTCACATTCGCCCCTCAGCCGAGGCTTCCAGCTCATCTCGAGCTCGGAGTGCAGCAGGCACTCGCGCTAACACAGAAAGGAAAGGGAGAGGGTGTCGCGTGCGACCGCGGTGGTCCGCACATCATGAGCATTGGCATGCGGCAGGGACGCTAGCCCGCACCACCACAACGAACGCACGACGACGGCAACCCTCAGCAACCCTTAACCACCCTTTCCCAGGAGGTCCTCACCCTTTTGCTGGTGGGCGAGGCTCTTGAATCCTCGAGCTGGTCTCTAGCTGCCAGTACACAGACTATGGTACAAATGGTACACTGTACACTACCGGTCCTAAGCTACGGCTACGGCTACTCACCTATCCGGAACTACCCTACGGGCTACCAGACTCAGTGAGAGCCGCGCACATGGCTCGTGCCGCGGGCAATGCAACTCACACGCGCTTCGGCGAGCGCATTGCCGCGACCAGGACACGGTCCGCAGCACCTGCAAAAGAGCACCCTCGGCACGAGGGGCCACAGGCAGGGCGAAGGAGAAAGGTGCGGGGAAGCAAAATGGGCAGGTTTCCAACCTGCCGCGGCTTTTCGCCCGCAGTCAAGCAAAAGAAAGTGCAAAAGGTTGGCGAAGCAACGTGCCGTGCTGCAACGCCTGCTCTGATAATGCGTGGATGCATACCACGCCGCGCCAACTGGCCGCAGCCTACTCGATACCCTGTGGAGCAGTGTTGGGGGCACGAGTGGCGTTGCCAGCAACGTTGGAGCTACTGGCTCGCTCCAACTGAGGGCGCCTTGCGACCGCCTCATCGAGGGAGAATGCCTCAGCCGACACCCTCTGGAAATCCTCGATGTAGGACTGCGCGACCGGGTGCGTCTTGGCGACCTCAAGCCTAAGCCCTGCCTCCGCATTGGCTTTGCTGCTTGTGGTAAAATTGAGGCTCCCAATCAGCACCACCGCGCCATCAGGCCGCAGTAGGCAAAGGGCCTTGGCATGGTGAAGCCCTTGGATACCGGTACCTACTTTAGCCCCGCGGCCGTCGCGAGCATAGGCGTCGCGCACGGATGAGCCGCAACCCACCTTCACCTCGGCGCCTGCAGCCGCCAAGCGTTTCAACGCTTGCCACTGAAGTTTGGTGCGGTGGCATTGTCCCATGTCGGCGACAATCCGAACGCTTGCGCCCTTGCCAAGCGACGCTTCGATTGCCTCGATGCAGGATGGGCAATCTAAGCTGTACGCCCGGACGTAGATCACATCCTCTGCTGCTCCAGAACCAAGCAGCGTTTGGGCGGCCTGAACGTATGGCCCGCCCGCAAGGAATTCCGCTTCTTTGACTGGAGAACTCCTAGCGGGGGCTGGGCCCTTGTTCCTCCGGCTGGGTGTGCGCGCCACAGTGGCGGTGGCGGCACGTTGCACGGAGCCGGAATGTGCGTGGGCTGCGCTCGCTCCATCCGCTGGGGCCGCGGCCAGGTCACGACCCGCGAGCCCCTGAAAGCAGGAGAGCCCGCGGCTCTTGGCCGCAAGTTGGGAGAAACATCCTTCACTGTTCCCCAAACCCAACACAACCTTACCCTTAGCCAGGGCTTCGGAGGCGGTACTCCGAATGGAGTCTGTGAGCGCAGGACCCGCGCCTCGCTGGGCCGCGTGCAAAAACCCTAGGGAACGAGCGGTGTCCATTGCGGCATCGCAATGCCCGCAACGTCCCTCTGCCAGGTAAGCACGACAGCCACAGGCAGCTGTCTCCTCCTTGAGGTGCACCCAAACCTTATGGGTCACCCCTTTCTTGGAGCTCGCGACCTCAAACGTCGCTTCAGAGCCAAGGAGTTGAGACAGCCGCGCCTCAGGGGCCGCGGTGTTGCCATGTCGCATATGCGCAATGCGATTGGCAACGGCACGACTCACGTACCACAGAACAGCGCCGCACAAGATCACTACTACCAGAGTGATGGCTGTTCCGGCGACCCACACGGTCCGCCTGGCCCCATGACCGATTTCCTCGACAACGTCGGCCGAAATCGTTGCAACCGCGTGCATGGAGTCCTCGACAACATGCACAACCCCGCGGTGCAACTGCAAGGCAATCGGCGCCGACGCTGCAGCCGCCAGGCCCCACCAGCCGTTGATGTTCCCGTTGAGGGCGTGCATCAACCGATTGAGGAGCCCGCGACCCAGGAAAAAGGGGGTCCGCGGCGGAAGCGGAACACTTGGCGGCGGCCGGGCCGACCCGCACGGGAAAGGCTGGGACCCAGCTTGTGCTTGGGCGGGGTTGGAGCGCGGCAACAATGCCCGCGGCGAAAGCGCCCCAGGCGTACTTGCCCCTCCCCTTGGGCTTGCCCTTGGCATCGGACTTGCCTCTGCCCTTCGGCTTGCCCTGGCCCTTGCCACGGGCGTCTGCCCAAGCACTCCAAGGGTCGCGGCCCTTGCCGTACGTCGCCTCTTCGCGACGTCTCTTGCCGCCCCTCTTCTTGTGTTTGTTTCTAAGAAGAGGTTGGATGGTTTCTTGGTCCATCGCACGATTGGCCAGAAGGATCTCGTACTCCAGCTCGTCCTGGCTGCTTTCGGAGCCCGAGTCCCTCTCTTCGCCGCGCCGCGGATCAGGGATCCCGCGGGAAACGACCTCTGCCAAGCGAAGAGGCGTGCTGCACCGAAAGCACAGCTGCCTGAATGAAAGGTTCCATTCATAGCAGTTAGGGCACTGCCACCC